TGTTAATAAATGTAGTCACTAAATGTAGTTTTAACTAGGCTTATATCATGTCTATTTTCTATTCCACATAACAACAGAGGATGCATGGTCTAATAGTCACAGTCATGGACTCTCAAGTCACACGATCCTATGCCCAATCCCAACTCTTCCACTGACCAACTTCACCCAAAATTTTACCCTGACACTTATCAAAACTATTAAAACTCCATTTTCTTCCTGTAATACTACCTCCTCCTTCAATTATCTCTCTTAAATAAGATAATTAAAGCACTCACTAATTGTTAGCTATGATTGTTGTTTGGATTTATGAAGAAATGAGATGAGTAAGACTCAGTCCCTACCTCTAAGTTGGTCAAAAGATCCCAGGGGAGCTGGGAAACAACAGATCAGAAATCAATTATAACTGCAATAGGTCCAGTAGCAGAGAGGATATTTGGTCCCGTGTGAAACAATGTAGAAAATGGTCCTATCTGCTGCAGGGTAGACAGGAGGTTAAAAAAAAAAAAAAAAGTCTTCTGAGAAAAATGCCTTTAAACATTGTCTTGAGCAATGGGTAGGAATTTCCACTGGTGGAAACAGCAAAGGCACAGAGTTAAGCCAGCCATGGGGACCAGAAATTGCATGCTGCTCTAGAGCATGGGAAAGCAATTTTACAGTCAGATGAGATGGCAGCAGCCTTTGGGAAGGAGTGGATTATCATTGGGAGCTCAGGATCTGAGGCCAGACTGCCCAAGTTTGAGTTCAGTTTAGGAGTTTACTAATTTTGGTATGATCTTGGGTAAAGTATTTACCTCTCTGTTCCTCTGTCCTCAGGAAAAATGGAGCATGGTGGCACCTACCTCATTAAGATTATTGTGAGGATTTAACAAATTGAAGTGCCTAGTGCCATGGCTAGTGCAGATTAAGTGTTCAATGAATTCAGCTGTTAAGATTAATGAGCTTCATTTGACCACAGACAGCCTGACTACAACAGGCAGAAAGCATGGGCTGGTTTCACGAAAAGAAGGGTTGGCATAAGCAGGCTCCCTGTCCACCAGCTGTCAAGAACAAGGTCACAAACCTGAACAGAGAGGTGAATTGAAGGGATTCTGGGGAAAAACAGGCAGATACCAAAGGCTAAATCCAAAAGGGATAGGGCATTCTCCCACTGAGGTGATAATCCCTGGCACATTGGTTCCTGTGCCCCAGGGGCTGTGTTTGACATTGCAAATACCCTCATCAAGATTTACTTTCCACCAGGCTTAGTTCAGCTGTGGAAGACGCTGGGCTAAGATGCAAGGGAGGAAAAATGAAGATAGGATCTTTTAAACAATTGAAGAATCTTTCGAAGCATTTATTTGCATGTGACCTAGTAAAAATTCCACCACTTTAATTTACCAATTTGTATTGGGATAAAAGCAAGAACTGTAATGGCATTATTAAAAAATAAGCTTTGTGCGTTTTCCTAGTTGTGAAATAAATAATTGTACTCAAGCAGAAGAACTTGGGAGAATCCCAGTGCAGTCTTGACATTTAACAATCAGCAACAGCATCCCTTGCTTTCATCATTGAATTTTATAGAATATTTATTTGTTGGGGAAAAAGTTGAATTAGCTTGATGACACAGTCTCTGATCTATCAAGGGTATGATTATTTATAATTTGTTAAGGAACTTTTTAATAATCTGATTTTGCAATTAATATTTAACCAAACTTTGCTTTGTCTATAATTTCTAAAAATTTGTCATCCGAATGTGGTTAACAGGTTGTCATCAGCCTGGGTGCACTTAGTATTATACTTCCCCCTTGTGGTGAATATAAAAAACTGTAGCCTTACTTTTTTATATCCCTTTCAATTCATTGTTCCATGCTTTATATATCCTTGTTAACTGCCTTAAATACCTTCTGGAAAAATGCAAAGTCTAAATAAATAGGTAAAAAAATGAGATTGGCAGTGTTACCAAGGAATTAAATAGAGTTTAGAAAACCCATCTGCCTGTATTCAAATCTCAAGTCTTCTATTTGACCAACTGTGAGAACCTGGAGGAGCTACTGAGATGGAGGCTCTCTCTTCATAGTTAGTTCCTCACCTGTAAAATGAGGCTACCAATAGTCTACACCTCCTCGTGTTGATATGCAGATTGAATGAGCCAACATATGTAAATCACTAACAGCAGCATCTTGTACCTAAGTGTCATTCAAAATGAGAGCTGTTGCTCTGGCCTAAAACACTGTAGCCTTATAGATAAGCTTTAGACCACTCTTGGGTCCCTATAACAGAAGCTCTCAGGGACCCACAGAATCCTTCCCCATGGTAACTAGCCAAGACCACATGTTTTTGGTCAGAATTGTTGGTACAGAGTACAAAAACTGCCCCTGCATCCATCTGGTCTCATTGGACAGTTGAGCAGCTTGAGGCCCAGAGAATGGATGATTCGGTTCTCCTGGTACATTTCCACGCTGTTATAACTGCTTAATCCCCTGAATCCTCATAAATGCAAGTTATTTCCATAAAGAGAAAAGGACTAAGCTATGATAAGCCAGCCATAGGTTACCCATCCCCTGATTTCCACGTGCCACTACAGAAATTGCTGTGATACCAAAGCCAATCCACAGGCACAGAAATCCGAGGATCCAAAAGGGACACATCTTTAGAGACAGAAATGCTTTCTGACCCCCAATTTTAAGAAAGCCACCATTTTCAAGAGGATGAGTTTAAGAACTAGCCTTGTAGAAGGATGCAGGGCAATGAGGCTGGTAATTCTAGGCAATTAATATTACTCAAGCTAACCGTACTATTTCCAGCACGATGTCATGTCTAATTCAGTGGGCCCTGCAACATGTTTGGAACTTGTGTTCCCTGTAACTGTGATACACCACCATGATCCATCTTCAGACCTGCCAATCAACCCTCTCTGATCAAAGTGTAAAGACCCAGAATGCTCAGAGCCATAGAAGATGACTCCAACCAAGGGACAAGAGAGTCCCCTGTGGGATCTGCTGAGGACCTTGTGGCAATGACAACTGCTTTCACCCAACCCTTCTCCTTCTCCTGCACGGGTGCTATCCAGAGAACACACCCAGAAACTCGCTGCATAGTAATCTCAGTCTGCTCCCCAGAAAACGCAAGCTGCAACATCCCTTTTCTAATATAAAAATCTTGCATTTCACTATTCTTGACCTCTCTGGGATTTTGTGGAGGGAAGGGAGAGAATTTAAATTTAAAATAAATCCAACTATGTATTTAACTTCTCTGATCTGAAGAAAGTACATGCTTAATATCCAGAAGACTTTTTAAAACTCTTCCCCCATTTCTACCATATAAATTACCTTCCACATATATGGCTGTTCCTCATCAAACATAACAGCCTGAATGCTTATGTCCCCTGAAGTTTCATATGTTGGAATGGTGTTCACCCCCACACACCCCAGGTGATATTAGGAGGTAGGGCCTTTGGGGTGAATTAGATTATGAGGCTGAAGCCTTCCCAGTTAGGATTAGTTAGCACTCTTATAGATCCCTGAGAGCCAAGTAACCTTCTACCATGTGAGTACCCACTGTGTATGAACCAGAAAGCAGACTCTCAGCAGACATTGAGCCTTCTGGCACTTTGATCTTAGACTTCCCAGGCTCTAGAACTGTGAAATAAATTTTTGTCAATTAGCTACCCTGTGTATTGTATTGTTATATATAGTAGCCTGAGGCCAGGGCAAGTTTGAGGACAGCCTCAGCAACTTAAGGAGACCACATCAATTTTTTTTTTTAAATGTAAGTACTGGCAATGTAGCTCAGTGGTAGAGCATTTGCCTAGTACGCAGTAGCCCCTGGTTCAATCCTGAGTGAAAAAACACATAAAGTAATCTCATATGAATTTATGAATACAATTTGGATATTAGGTAACTTATTTACAGATTCATGATGAAAGCCTGAACTAAATTCCCAACCCTCTGACCTCTATACTGAACACAAGTTACCAGGTACCCAAGCTCAGACCACTAGAGAGGCTTGCTGGGGTTGCAGGGAAGGGGGAGGATTTTAGGGTCCCTGGCACCATTAGTCAAAACTTCTGAACAGAGGGGTATCCAAGGTCAACTTGATTCCAATACCATCATTGGTATTAAAATGTGTTTGGGGAAGGCAGGAAATTCATTCTGAAGTAGAACAGAAAACTCAAAATCATCAACAAAACAACTTGAGGTTTATCAGTAAACACTTCACATGGCCAAGGACAGCATCATTCAAGGTTTCTGCTGATTGTTGGGGGAGGGGACATGATTATACTTTTGAACAAAGAAACTAAAAAACAAAATGCAAGCCTACCTTGTGGAACAGAAAGCAGTTATTTCAGGGGAAAGATCCCTGTTATAAGGACAATGACACAAGGCAGGGTGAGGAAACAGGGCAGAAACAATACCAAACGACTGACAGCAGCATAAGAAAGATGAGAAAACCACATCATTGGGAACAGCTAGCAGATCTCATACCCTACCATATTGCTGTTTACGTTACAAGTGCTTTGGCCACAAGTAGCAGAGGACCCACGAGGCAGGTTTTTCTAAGATAATCTTTCTAACAAGTCTGGTTAGTCTTGCTAGTGTGGTTAAACAACTCAGAATGTCAGGGTTTGCACCTCAGTGACCCAGAGCCTCTTCCCCACGGACATAAGATGATAACAGCATGGCCACAACCAAATGGCAGGTACCAGGAGAATGGAGTTGGAAATGGAAATGGGACCAGGCAACCAACCCTCTGCCACAGCAAGAAAACGGCAGCCTAAACTTTTCAGAAAGTGGAGAGCCTGGCAAAATGGCTGGGTGCCGAGTCCACTGAGATGGTTTCTAACTCTCTGGCTGTTGCACAGGCTGATAAGTTTCCATATCACATCAGCATGTGGGTGAAGAGGGACAAGATCTTATGTCAAATGTGTTTCCTTTTTATTTCCCAAGAAACTACCTACAGAACTCCCTCTGACACATTGTGGGTAGTGAGAAAGCATTCATTTGAATTGCTACAAAACACAATCATGTTCAAAAGACACATTTATTGTACAATCTATTTGCAAAAGAACAATGTATAAATGTAATACGGAATGAAAGAAACAGATGTCAGGCATACATGCTTACATCACAAGTGCAGGCAAGACTAATTTATTATTTATTATCTCAGGAAGAAGTTTCAAAAAGCTTAACCCTATGATTAAAACTAAGAGTTTCTTAATAAATTATAATTTTATCTTCTTTGAAAATCTCCAAGTTACTGGAAGCCATGTAAGCCAGATCACTACCAATTTTTAAAAGATTCAAAGGCTTTTAAACTGGGAAGTCAGAATTGCTGAGGACAACTGTTGGAACGTAGAGTCAGCTTTCAATAATGTTGACATACATGGGAAAAAATCCATACACCTAACTCTCTTCAGTAGTCAGTTAACTGCAGAATCTTCCAAAACTGGAGACAGGTATTCTTCCTCAGACCAGGGCCCTAACATGTCCCAGGATACAGGCTTCATTCAACATTACTGGGCAGAGGAGCTGATCCTATGAAAGGCAGCGAAAGACATGCCGCCATATTTCTGCATCTTTCCTTCCAAGTAAAGACAGACTTTTTGTGCCCAATACTTTGTCCAACAGCTTTTGTGCATTATCAGCTCTTCCCTCAGATCACTGTCCTTCTGTCTGTGAAATGTGTTGTTCAAACTGAAATAAAACAAATGTTCAACACAAAAATTATTCAAATGCAGAAAAAGAATGGCAAGAAAAACACGAGATGACCCCAATGTTTAATTCACTCCATGGTAAATAGCGATTTGAGGGTAGGCCACATCAGGCACTATTCTCAGTACTTAAGACACAGAAGTGTGCAAAGACACTCTCAACCATGAAGAATGTGTTAGCTTTGTGATACTATAATGAAATATCTAAGGCAATTAACTAATAAAGATAAATGGTTTCTCTTGGCTCATGGTTCTGGAGGTCCCAGTCCAAGATCAAAAAGCCCCATTGGTTTGGGCCTCTGCAAGGGCAGCACATCATACAGGAGTGTATAGTGGAGCCAAACTGTTCACCTCATGAGCTGAGAAGAAGAAAAAGACATAAAGCGGCCAGAGTCCCACAATTCCCTTTAAAGGCAGGCCCCCAGTGACCCGAGGACTTCCCAGTAGGCTCACAAGAGGACCACCCTATAGACCATGCTTTAATACATGAACCTTTGGGGGACACTGACATATTCAAACCATAGCAGAATGAGATCCCAGTCAACTAAAATTTAAGTCCCTTTCTCGAGCCTGAAACTAGGTGTTATAAAATATACAAAAGGATGTTTTTGATTCTTCTACTAAAAGGCTCAGAGTTGGTTGGAAAGAAAATACTAAGGGACACTGGAACAAACAGCAAACAGTATATGACAACCCAGTAATACTTTACTGAACACTGCCACTGGGAACACACTGCCAGTGTGTCCCATTTAAATTAATTTCTTAGATAACTGAGACTTTTCAAACATCTAGAATTTTAATATACTAAGCTCTAATCTGTTCTCCTTAGATGTAAGATTATGGGGAGTGAAAGTTCATTTTCCTCATATGTAAAACAAGTAATATTTACATTATTTTTTTCTTTTAGAGTATTCCTATAAGGATCAAACAAGAGTTAAAAAAAAAAAATAGAAAAAAAAAATAGCTCTCCCTCAGTATCCATAGAGGATTTGTTCCAGGACCCCCAGGAGTACCAAAATCCAGATGCACAGGTCCCTCATATAAAATGACATATCTTACATAACCTAAACATAACCTGTATAAATTAAATCATCCCTAGATTACTTGTAATGCCAATACAGTATAAACACTCTGTAAATAGTAGTTGTCCTATATTGTTAGAAAAAATAATGACAAGAAAAACTTCTATAGGCTTCTATTGATATAGGGTTTTTGTTATTGTTTTCAAAATTTTTCTACATGGCTGGTTGAATCCATGAATGCAAAACCTATAAATGGCCTTTATCTTGCAAATTATAAATTGCTATATAAATGCTTAGTATTTGACACATTTGCATTTTAGTAAACTATATACTTTTCTTCTTAAATAATCTTACAGTCTGCAGCATGAACTGAAAAAGAACATCATTTTCTGAGTCAATGTGCTCATATGACAACTGGACACACACAGTGGACCTGAAAGCCTGCACACCGTGGACTGTGAGGAGGGCCGTTATGATAAGTGCCCCGTGTGCACTGCAGTTTCCCAGTCTCTGCTGCTGCAGGTCACTCAGCAGTGATACCTGACTTCAAACACTGTGCCTCTTCCACGCTCCTCTCATTTCTAAGGCTTCTTCTATGTACTACTTCAACTAAATTTTGTGATGTGAACACCACCCAAAAAGCATGTGACATTTTCAGCATCCAGTAAGTGTTGTCATTAAAGATAACTGTAATCCCATTTGCTTTGTTAAAAGTAGAGATAACATTCCATGCAACTAAATAATCCAGTCTTTATATATGACTGCATAAAATATTGGAGTGGTGCCATTTGATATGGTAAGGTTGAATATACTGCATGGTTCTTCCCTGGTCCTCTCAGCTTCAGACCCCCACTTCATGCTGCAGACTGTAACATTAAGTTAGCCCTACGTAGGATAATCAATTATAAACTTAGGCACATATCTTTCCCAAACCAAGTGTTTTATTTTGTAAGCTAAAGAACAAATAAGCAATGTCAACAATTTATAGTCCATCCTGCATAATTACTTCAAGAGAACTTAAATATGAAGCTACATCACGAACAGCATACTTGAGAAAAACTTAGACATTAAAATTTTATACTGTTATAGCTCACCTTTGAAGCTTCTGGACTAGAAAATGGAGAAGACTCCCAAGATCTATTAAATGGAGAAGAATCCCAAGATCTATTTTCTTTGTCAAAGGAGTCATCTTCTTGGGATGCAAATTTCTGCTTAAGTGCATGTGATATTAAGGACACGGGATCCCAATGTGAACTTCGTCTTTTCCTCTTATGAATGGGTCTACCACCAGGTGACCTGTTTTTAAAAATGGAGTAAATTAAAACTTTAATATTTGGAATTTGGAGGGCATAGTGAACAAGAAAAACAAGAAACCATGTGGGCTAGGGGTCTACCACAACTTGCTATAAACTGGGATTCCTGAAATATCACTGTGCTGAAAACCTTTATTTTTAATTTTCTAATTTACCGATAAGTAGGAAAATTTAAATAAATATTTAAGACCTTTTAAAAGGACCAGAGTTCATAAGAAGAAAACCATTAGGCTGACTGTTCATCTGTCTGATCATTCATATATGATCTTCTCTGAATGCCTACTGTTTCTTCATGCTACTTAGATTAGCACACAACTTGAACTTTATTATTTCTGTAATTTTCCATTTAATGTTTTCAGACCACAATTACCATGGGTAACTGAAACCATAAATAAATGACTTGGTTAACTGGAAAACACAACAGCGGATAAGAGGAAGACTAAGTGGAGAAGAAAAGAGACGGGTAGGGATAGGAAGGGTAGGGAGAGAAGAAAAGGAAAGGGAGGGGAGGAGAGGTCAGGAGAGGGGAGAACAGGGGAAGGGAAGAAGAAAGAAAAAAAGAAAGAAAGAAGAAATAGTCAAAAAGGAATTAACGGGGCTGAGGCTGTAGCTCAGTGGTAAAGTGCTTGCCTTGCATGTGTGAGGCACTGGGTTCAATCCTCAGCATCATATAAAAATCAGTAAAGATACTGTATGTTTATCTATAACTAAATAAATATTTTAAAAAAAAGAATTAAAAATGAGTATCTCTGGGAGGAGCATTCAGGGTGATGAGGAATAAGAAGAAAGACATCTGTCAACTTTCATAAACAATTTTTTTAAAAACATCATTGACAGGGGCTGGGGATGTGGCTCAAGCGGTAGCGCACTGGCCTGGCATGCGTGCGGCCCGGGTTCGATCCTCAGCACCACATACAAACAAAGATGTTGTATCCACCAAAAACTAAAGAATAAATATTTTTTTTAAAAAATTCTCTCTCTCACTTTACTCTTAAAAAAAAAAAAAAAAAATCATTGACAAAAGTCTAGTTCTTTTCCCAAATTATGACAACATACCGTTCAATAGCACGGAGCTTGACCTTATTCATATCCTTTAGAACATCCAACATGTTTGGAACTTCTTTATTTCTCTGGCTTTTTGAATGATGACTATAATTGGTCTTAGCACCGGGGTGCTGCTTTTTCATTTCAGCTACTGGATTATCTGAGTCACAAATATTAGTAGATCCTGGTTGTATGGGAGGAAAACTTGAAAGCTGAGGAGAAGAAAAATGAGGAGGAAGCGGTGGTGGTGAAGGAGGAGAAAGCATTGCACTTGGAAACTGATCTGGTTCTACACTCAGTTCAGCGGTTGCCTGTGATGGCATTCTTCCCACACCAGGGGGCTCATCATTCAAGTCAAAGGAGCCTAAAAGCAAAGTAATCTGTTGAAAAAACATTCAAAATTCTAACATATAAGAGTAATGAGAACCAAAACAAAACAATTCTGTAATGATGCTAAAACAGTGATATGATAGCCCAGAAGAATTAATCCCGTCTGTTTAGTAGCTTCTATAAAGTCAAGCCAATTCAAGTGAATTCACTTGTAATTTAACTAGAAATTCTCCATGTAGGCAGGCCCTAAAGAATGTATTTTCAAGAGAAAGTGTTTTTCCATAATTCATACACAATTTGAACTTCATTCTGACATTTGAGAAATAAACATTATATTTTAGGTACAGATTATTTAACTTTTTCACAAAAGATTTACTTCTAAAGAACTGTGAGTAAACACGAATTACTTTACAAAAAAGTTGTGTATTTATTTATTTTATGAGTTTATATAACTATTATATACTATGTGCTTTATTTATGTATAAATTATTATAAACACATGCTATACATATCTTGATACTGTATAAATTATGCTTATATACTATATATGCATACACATTATACAATTTTTTAGCAGCTTTATTTACATATAGCCCTTTATGACCAAATCTGTTGTGGAAAGTTCTTAGTGTCTATGTTGCTTTAAGTTTTGTGTTTAAAGCAAGTTATATCTCTAAAAATTTAGAAAAATATCATCTGAAAAATACTATTCACCTGAATTTGGTGGAAGTGTAGTAACATTAAGTAAAAACTATAATGAGGCCACAAGCCTGTTTGCCTCTTTCAAACCAATGGATTCTTTCTTTTAATTTCCAATGTTCTGAAAGCTAGGAAAGGGAAGAATTTTTTAATAATAAAAAATGCAATCTTCAGTAGCAATAGCTAGATCTTTACACCAAAGTCACTCCCTCCATTTTGTATCTTGTGATTTATTCTGAATAAACATCAGATATAATAAATCTATATACTCAAATTTTGTTATCATACATTTAATACTGTTCACAGTTCTTATTAAGAATTGTACTAATTCAATACCAATAATTATCATCTAGCTGAAACAAAAGTCCAACATATTACTCACCAGATTTTTTTCTATTTCTTAGTTCCTGCATTTCCACAATTGCTGCAATCTGAGAGCGAAGAAAAGTAAGCTCATCTTCAAGGGCAGCTATTTTTTTAATTGTAGCTTCATTTACAGGCAGATCATTTTTCATTGGTTTGTTCTGTCTTTGAGCTGATAACAGTGGATCCAAAATTGGTTGTAAAGGATGGGAAAATTCATTTTTTTCCTTTTCTTCATTTTTCCATGTACTATTTTTGTGGGTAGAAGGAAAAAGCAAAGGATGGAAGGGAGATTTTCAATCTAAAGAAAATAAAATCTCTTATGAAAGCAAGACAATAACGCAGGGCTGGGGATATAGCTCCGTGTTAGAGCCCTTGCCTAGGATGCACAAAGGCCCTGGGTTTGATCCCCAGCACTGAAAAGAAAAGACAACACCACAAAATCAGAGCAACTCTTTTCTTTCCCCTGTGATCGTCTCTAGACTCACTAAGGACAAGCACAACATCTTTGTAAGTATTGTATTCTCAATATGAAAAACAGAATACAGCCTCTAATAGATGGCCAACATGTAACTGGGAATGAAAGTTAACCTTTCTTTTAGATTGTATAATAAAAATAATTATCTTGTAATTGCTTAACCTATTAACTTTAAACACAGTGTAAGTTAATTTTCCTAGAAATTCTGCAGAGGAGCTGAAGGGCCTTCCATTAAGGATTATGTTAGAGGTAAGGGAACTAGTTTATGATCTTCAAACTTTTTGAAAATTGACAAGCCAGTTTGACACATAATAAATTCAGCCAGAATCTTTTAAGAACTGACACTCATTGTACTTATAGCCTGTATCTGAATATTCTAATACATAAGTTAGTTCTCCCTAAAATTCAATTTTAAAATATAGTCCTCTCTCAATGTGTGTGGGTAACTGGTTCCAAGACACATGTAGATATTAAAATCAAGAATGCTCAAGTACCTCATATAAAGAAGTACAATGTTTGCACTTAACTTATGTATATCCTCCTGCATACTTTAAATCTTCTCTAGATTACTTAAAATACCTAATACAACACCTATACATCACTTCATTCTTGTGGACTTGGCATAGTATTTGAAGCACAGCAAATTCAAGATTATGCTGGGGATGTGGTTTAGTGGTAAAGCGTCCCTGGATTCAAGCCCTGGTCTTCAAACTTTTTGAAAATTAACAAGCCAGTTTGACACATAATAAATTCAGCCAGAATCTTTAGTAACTGACACTCATTATACTTATAGCCTGTATCTAAATATACTAATACATAAGTTAGTTCTCCCTAAGAGAAAAATAAAAACTATTAAAAAAGAAAAACTATTAAAAAAAAAGAGAGAGAGAGAGAAACCACCCACATAAGGAGGGATTAGTAAAACACAGCACAGGACAGAGCCAGACAGAACAAAAAAGTTCAATCAACTTGAGCAAACTTTTAACACATGCAAGAATTCAGGTTATAGATTATGTCATACTTCCAAAATAAGCATATAAATTACCGAAATCTGAGATAACTGGCTTCTTCATCATTTGCCACACACAAAACATCAGCAAAAGATGGAACCATAGATCCACAATTATCAGATTCTACAGAGTTCAAGTGCGGGATCAACTAAAGCAAAAAAATAAAAAAGTCAGAGCTTTGCAGGGAGTCAGAGAAGGGACATGTCCCATATCCCATGGCATTAAATAAATTAACAACCCCAAAGAGAGAAAAGGAACAAAGTTCTTCAGTAGAAGCACATGCACCTGTTAGCAAGAAAAAATACCGGGGTCAATGCTATTCTGTAGCCTAAGCATGCAACTGTATTCTCTCCCCTAGTCACTCTTATCTACCATACAATGTAAAATAAAATAAGCTCTGGAGTCTTTCTTGCAACTGTCAGTTTTCTTTCTTCTTTTTTTTTAAAATCTAATTACTTAAAAGAAACAGTAACCACAAAAGCAAATGCAAAATGACTTATATCCAGAGGTAAATTAAAGGTTCCTGGCTTACAGAAAACATTTCCTTTTGTTGTTCTACCCTAAATACTTAGAAGTACCTACAATTATTTTATACACTGGACTTAACTCATGGTAACTGACTTACCTCAAAAGCAGGTCTTCTACAAGGTTCTAAAGGAAGCATTTTCCCAATAATACGAACAATACTCCGAGTTGATCCATAGTCTTTATTTTCCCAAGTCAGCAAAACCTATTTAAACATGAATTATTACCTAAAATGTACACTAATTAAAAGGTACATATCTAAATAAATAAATATATATATATATATATATATATATACATACATACACACACACTCTCAAAGTATCTTCTTCATGAGGCTGGGTGTGTTATTTTAGTGGTAGAGAGCTTGCCAAGCAAGCACAAGGCCTTGAGTTTGATCCCCAGCATGGGGGTAAGTGTCTTCTTCAAAGAATTAAACTTTACTAATATTTGTCAGTAGGGCAAGGTGAGGAGAATGAGCTGGGTGTGGTGGCACACACCTGAAACTCCAGCTACTTGGGAGGCTGAGCAGGAGGATCACAAGTTCAAGACCAGCCTCAACAATTAGCAAAACCATGTTATAAAATTGAAAAATTTTTAAAAAGGCTAGGGACGAACCTCAGTCATAGAGCATTTGCCTAGTATGCATGAGACCCTAGCTACAACCACCAGTACAGATTAAAAAAAAAAAAAAAAGATGAAAGCAAGCACATATAAACTTCTTGACATGTTGTACTATGTCACCCAAAGTTATCTCAAATCTCTGAAATCCCCTGTGTGACCACTTCTGTTCCTTGCATATGACCTTGCCTCTGCTCTGAGTAAGCCAGATTTCAACATGATATCTCAACTTGATTTCCCTTGTGAAGTTACACAAGCTGCATCCATATTAAAGATTCTGCAGACTAACCTTTATTGTGGAGACAGGGAATGAGGCATGATATCTTGGGCTATCTTTAGTCCCTTTTAATAGCCATTTCCTGTCAACCTCTGTATCTGACCTAATACCCTAACTTCTAGATAAAACTCTGAGAATATATCACTAAGCTTGACACAGCTCTAACCTCCATCAACCCTAAAGCTGAGAATGTGATAACATCTAAATCCCATGGAAGAGATCTGCCCACGTTGGCGTAGCCCACCTAAGTGTTAACTTACAGCTTTCTTTTGTTCTGTAACTATAAAAGCTCATGCAACCTCTTCCATGGTGTAACATCATTTCAGGTAATCTGAATTCATGTTCCCAGGCTATAGATACTCACATTTGGCTCAAAATAAACTTTTTTCTTATTTCCTTTAAAGCAGGATTGTTATTTTACATTAACACTCTCCATTCAAAATCTCTCTCCACCATCTCTCACTTTTATTCTATTCCTTAAGTTCAGACTGTTTCTCTTCTTCCTGAGGCTTATGTATTCAGATTCCCTGTGCAATTACCTTCTCCAAGACATTGTTCAATCACCCTCTCTCATTTGTACTTCGTGCAAATATGCTAAAAGTTGCCTCTAACTTTGAAAAGAAAAGTAAATTCTAATCCTGCTGCCCCTTCAAATTGATGAAATCTCTCAATTTCTTCTCACAAGCAAACTATTCAAAAGAAGGCTGTTGAAGACACTTCTTCATATTCTTCAAACTACTCCATCCAATTAAATCCTATCTTCTCCTACAAAAATTCTTAAAGGCACCAATAACCCAATAATGATAAGTAAATCTTCAACTGCTATCCAATCCTCCCTGTCTTCAGTCTGTCATTGAGATTTCAATGTTTCAAAAACATCTAATGACATCTTCCATTATATCAACAAAATCCATGGCTTCAGATATCAAAACAATGCAGCTAACTCCCAAATCCAAATCTCTCTTCTTTCCTAGCTTCTAGAACCAAGTAAACAATTGTCTATGGGATATTTCTGTTTATATATTCCAACAACACCTCTAGCTCACCTTATCTCAAACCACTTTCTCATATCCTCCAACTAAGTTGGCTACTTATAATAATGGCGCCATCATTCTTCATTTTACTTTTGTTTAAAATCTTAGCATTATCCTTACTACTCTTCTAATTCACTCCACCAAATAGCAATGACGTGCCCATTTTGTATGCCACTATGCTATGTGGTCTTTCTTATAGTCAATCTCATATTATAGTTATATTTGTTTCTTATTGCCCATATTTTAAACATAATGAATACAAGAACCATGTATTGCCTCTAAATGATCTACAGAACTAAGAACACTTTTCAATGTTGATGTTCAACAAGTAGACAGAATTGGACTTGCTTATAATTCCCAAGCCTAAGTCATCCTCTCACCCTCAGATTTATTCTGAATTGCTGAGCTTCAATTTTGCCATTGAACACCCAAACATCAAACTGCTCACAAATTACTTTATCTATGCAATAAATATAATTCTGTAAAGGTCATGTCTTTATTGTGCCTTCATCTTCTTTTGACATTTGACCCAGGAAGTAAAAAAGTTCTCAATAATCTTATCCACCCTTTTCTAATTCAAACTATCAAAACTATACTGTACTAACTCACCTGTGTTCCACCTAAAAGAAATAACAATTTTGCCTTAAATGTTTACATACAAATTATTTTAAAAATAAGACAGAATAACAAAGACAGCAGAATCATTCAAATGTATTAAGACATTACCTGGTCTATGGGAACACCAAAATATGCCAGCATCTCTCTTAAGATATTCAATATGAGAGACATTGAAGAAAATTCAAGGAAACATTATCAGTTTCCTGGTACCTTTGGGAAAAATTGTAGAAAGTATTACTCTTGACAAATAATTGCCACATAAACTACATTAAATAGCTTAGAAGTGACCTTTCATTACACTACCAACTAATTTCTCCTGGCCAACATCATTCTTGCAATGCTGGGGACTGAATCCAGGGGCTATACTACTGAGCTACATTCCCAGCCTTTTTGGTTTTTTTAATTTTTGCTGTTTTGAGACAGGGTCTGCTAAGTTGCCCATGCTGGTCTCAAACTTGTGATCTTCCTGCTTCAGCCTCCCAAGTTCTGGCCAGCATCAAGGAGAGAAAGAAATATTGTTGGAGGTGGGGGAAGTATAAACAAAACTTTTATTTAATCTTCTAAGTTACACTCAAATTTGATAAGATGCCTGATTATATAAAAGAGATGTAGCAGGGAAAGGTTTTAAGTCAGTTTGCGATAGGGAAGCTCAGTCCATCCTTAATGCTCTCTGCAGTGGCTCAGAAGAGGGATGAGTTTAGGTGACCTTGAAAGAGGGCAGGGACCGCTTATAATAATAATAATAATAATAATAATAGAAGACTGGTATCTCTTCTCACAAATTTAGCTGAGTATCCCACCCCTCTGCGCTCATTTTAAATATTAGTAGAATGAACGCGCGGTAGGTGACGCCGCTTAATCCCTCCACTTCTAAGTAACGCTGTGTGTGACCAGGGCCCGTTAGTGTCGCTGCTTCAGGGACTCTTCCAACCCAACAAGGTAGCCTTGCTCACCTTCCTCAGAAACTGAGCTTCCGACGACGAAAATACCAAGCGGAGGGCGTTAAGGAAGATGGTTTCCGAATCTTCAAGCAAGGAATTCCAGAACGCGCCGGCCCTGGACCAGAAGCGCCCAGACCCGGATCCCGCGTGGCCCGCGCACCACCACTTGCAGACGCCAGGCAGAAAGAGGCTACGAGCTAAGGGCCTGAGCCGACCGGGGTCGGTCCCGGACCTCCGCGGCTGATCAAGACCTCTAGAGCCCAGGAAGCCAGTAGCGCCTACTTAGGTCGGGCTCGCTACTTCCGCGTCCGTGAACGAAAATCAAATACAGCGGGCCGTGACCTATCCCCGATCCCATTGGACAAGGATGAAGATGGCTTGCTTCTGATTGGCAGGTACATGACGTCAAGCTTGCGACAATTCATTCAGGCCACCAATAGAAAGCCGGCGGGCGGGCAAGTCGCGCCCGGAGAGTGACGCACGCGCAGAATGTACGTACTTTTGTTTCCCCGGCGATCTCAAATATTGTGTGGTTGAGCCAGTGCTACCCAACTACGACCAGCCACTGAAAAGGACCTCCATCCGGACTTTGTGCCTCACCCAGTTCTTCGCTGGGAACGTGTCACTCTCTACACCCGAGTCCGCCTGCCACAGAAGGTCGCGGCTTATTTATTGGTAGTTCAGCCAACCAATATCTTTTGAGATAGTGTGATCTAAGCACTGTTTTCAGTGTTGGCAGCTTTGTGGTATTTAAGATTCCTTGGTTCACGAAAGACTCCTTATTCCAGACTATCAAAGTGACCTTGAAAGAGGGCAGGGACCTGTCACACTTGGGCGGTCCCTCTCCTGGTCTAGCCGGTGGATCTTCATGAGGCACAATGACTGTCCTTGTGTTTCAGCAGAAGTTGTTTTGGAGGGAAGTGACAATTTTAGATAACTACACCTGCTGCCTGCTGATCTTAGAACAAAAAAATAAGGTAACTTTCCTGATCGACGTCATTTATTCACTCAGTAGTGGATGTACAGTAATTGTCAGGCACTATTCTAATCTCGGAAGATTCGATACTGAGCCAGGCGGGTCTTTACCCTCCTGGAGTTTACATTCTAGTGTACAAATCAGAGACTTTCTCCGGGCACCATATATAAAATAAAGTGTCTAGTACATAGTGGGCATTCAATCCATGTGTTGATTAAAATAGATATGGAATGAGAAGACAACGACTTCAGGCTAGCAAATGGCAGAACTAAGGAAGGCACATGCCCAGTAGTCTGGAAAAGGATGAAAGTCGGAACAAGATGGGGTGCAGTGGCGCAGGCCTATAATCCCAGCGACTCCGAAGGCTGAGGCAGGAGGGTGACAAATTGAGGCCAGCCTTGGCAACTTAGCAAGTCTCTGTCACAAAAAAATAAATTTTAAAAAAGGGGTAGCAGATATGTTGAAGTACCCCTGGGTTCAATCGTAAGAAGGGGGTGGATAAGGAGGGTGACAAGACAATGTGAAAGGAAAATGGATCAGAAACCCTAGATGAAATGAGCAGACCCCAATTCTCTCAAGTTCCTTCCTTGTCCTCTTTGTGCCCTCATAAGTAAATCATGACTATTAAAACCTCCTCCTTTTCCAGTCCCTTATCCAAGAGGGCATGAAATAGGGCAAGAATGAAAATATTCCGGAGAACATGAAAACGGAATCATTTATTCTGCTAGCTTCACTAACAGTTCAACATTCCAGGACTGATTTAGTAACACCCAAGTCAAATGCATACATAAATGTTCCCAATTCTTCAGATACTCCATTTTAGGTTTACTAATACATTCATATTACATCTTGACAACCTTTTGAGTCAACTTTTTTATTTTTTATTGATCATCATTTTGTGTTTGTGTGTTGCTGGAAATTGAACCCAGGGCCTTGTGATGTAATAGAGCTACATCTCCTGCCCCTTATTTATGATCTTTACATTGTTTTCCTGAACTTTTAGAATGAGGCCTGGTACAGAAAAACTTCAGAGAGCTATCATTTCTATTTTTCTTTTTTGAGTCATATTCAAATAGTTTGTTGACATTTTCCTGGCTTTGTTCACCTACCCAGCTTGATCCTCTATTTTCTTTATCCTGATAAATTGACAGCATTTTAAGTATTTTCTCTTAAGCATGGAGTCCAGTCCCTAAAAAACCTGGCCCGTCAGTTTTGAGTTTCCTGGATGAACTACTCTGGCCTTTCCAAGACCTTACTATGGATGGGTTCCTTGCATTCACTAAAAGGATTAAATCCCAAATTTCAGCTGCTTCTCAGTAAATGGCTGTTGGTTAACTTGGGATTCTGGTGTTCTCATGTCTGTCAAATACTACCCTAATTCTTCCCCATACTTTGACAGATACCAACACCAGACAGGTTTTTGATCTGTCTCCAACTGCTGTTGTGTGGAGATTCATGGAAATATCTCAACACCTAACTTGACTGCAAATACTGGTTTTGTTTTTATGCTACCAACAGTTTTTCCAGAAACACTGATTACATCTTCTTGTAAACAAATCATTGTTATACTGAATCCCCAAGACCAGAAATGTTTTATTCATCCATAGTTTTTCAATGAATTAATGGAAAGGTTAAGGACTAATTTGGACAAAAACTTAGAAACGTGTACTCAGCAAAATGCAGTATAAAAACATCTGTAATCTCAGCTACTCAGGCAAGAGGATTCCAAGTTTGATACTAGACTGGGCAACTTGGTAAGAATCCAGTCAAAGAACAAGGAAGAGAGAAGGAATGGATGGATGTATACTCAAATCTTGCCAATTGCTATGTGGAAAGCCCATGTAATCCAAGCCTAAATTTGGGGTAGTAAGGTAAACCAGAATTACTATGCTGTAATTACCTTAATAGGGCAGGAATATAATATTCTACCAAAGTCTGCAGTAGTCTCTCCAACTTTAGCCACAAGTCTCATAAAAGGATGAACCAAATTGGGGCACACATGACCAGAGAGCTTTTGTGTAAGTTTTACATTTCAAAAAGAAAAATACATATGCCTTTTCCCTTCTGCCCTGCCTACACTGAGGCTCAAAGATAGTAGTGATGCAGTCTACTAGTGCTATTTAAAAGATTACACACCTCAAGATAGGCTCTCTTCATTTACTCAAACTTTTTAATTTTGAGAGTAGTCAAACCAAGATTCTCCTTGATACTAAAATAACTCAATTTATCCTGAAAAAATCCTTTTACACTGATGCCAAAACGAAGTAATGGAAATCAGACATATTACCTATTAAACTACTACGTATCTAGAAATTCTTCTTGATGTACTAAATTTACAAAATCTAAGTTATATATTTAAATTCTAAAGACTTTTCTTTGAATCCTTTATTGATTTATATAAAAGAAAAGTCTAGGTTATACTTAGTGTTTGGATTCAAAGGCTTTCATAGTCTTTAACTACTCATTCTATTTTTGAACAAGAATTCTGTGCTGTAGCTAATCCTCTCAAGATTTTTCCAGTTCCATTATTTTTAGAAGATTCATGACTTATCAATTCTGTACTCTGCTTTCTGATACATTTGTATGTTCACAAGTAGTGCTGCCTTGACTCTATTTAGTGAAAACTAACCAAAACCTAAAACAGAAAACAGGATCTCCTTCCAATTTCATTTTGCTTTTGGGTCCCCCAGACCATTACTAATGTTATATGTACATATCACTGTTTCTAATGTATACATTTATTCCTTATCACTCTTAAGTGATAATCAACCCAATTACTTTTCAATATTGTCATGGTCCAAGAAGCACAAATTTAAAGTCTCTTTAAAATTCCAAATAACTTTTATTATCTAGCAGCTTACATCCAATTGTCACCTGGTATGCCGTAAGGGTTGACATAAAGCCTTCAGAATCTTAAAAGCACTGTTATTTCTACACTTTTCTATGTTGTATGATAGGAATTAACTTAAATTTTTATTACTGGAATTTTGGGTACTTTTATTAAACAAAGCACCATCTCCAAGTGCTTAATCTTGAATAAGTAATCCAGACTAGGAAAAAAAGCTCTCCAACCCCAGCATTCCTGACACGCAGTTACCAATCCACTCTGCATAATTCTGCTGAAAACTTGCTATTCACAGTTGCCTGTTCTACTTTTTAGGCACCTACTTGTCAAATATTAGCGTATAATTGAACTTATGAAAGTCTTCATACATGATTTTTATTTATTGACTTCAATTTTATATGTGCAAACAAGACTGGACAAAGAGATATCAAAAGCCTTTCCTAGTCCTGTATGATCAGAAGTTGACTCCCCTTCTCTAGGAAAACCCATTATTAGTAGTACCTAAGCATTTTTCTACTGTACTCTTTGCTCTTAAAGAGATCCACAAGTATTTCAGACCTTAACTTCTTGGATATCTCACCTTTGTTTTCACTTAAAACATATTTCATAATACACAGTTTTAACTCTTCTGTACTAAGCTAACTCTCCTGTTCAGCACATTTTTATTCTAGCAAAAGATGCCATGTAAGCAGCCTAATTTTTTAGCTAAAAAATTTGCTAGCCTAAAAGACTGTGATGCATTCAATGACCCCATGATTTGCTAGCCTAAAAGAATGTGATGCATTCAATGACCCCAAGGCAAAAAGAATTTGCAATTTCTTGATAGGGTAATATTTTAAGATAGGTAAGTAGTAGAATAAGAAGGCAGAAAAAAAAAGGTGAGGAGGGTACAGGAAAGGAAAGGAGAAAGAAAAAAGTCTGAGGGAATTCCTATGGTTCGTCATGATTTAGGCACCAGAAAGGGTTTCTAGCTTAAAATTACATTGATTGTGGGGCTGGGGTGGTGGCCTAGCAGTAGAGCGCTCAGTACATGCAAGCCACTGGGTTCAATCCTCACCACTACATAAAAATAAATTCTAAAATGAAAGTATTGTGTCCAACTTAAAAAAAAATACATATTTTAAAAAAGTGATATAGATCATACAACTAAAAAACCTTCCAGAGGTGGCAATATGAAGAAAATATGTGCATCAATGAGATTCACATGTATTTCAAAATACATGTGAATTTAAAATATTTAGAATACTGTGGCAGTTGGAGCAAATGATAACTATCTATTATGAGGGTGGAGAGGACAGAAGATAAATTCTATGGGGATGCCCAATGCCTACGTGGTAAGAAAATAACATCAGTTTCCAGTAGGGTGGATATAAAAGATGAACGGAGTTTCCAGTGAAGTGGAAAGTGGAGGTGTCCAGGGGAAAACTGAAAAGAAATAGAATTTAAGGGAAATCTGAGGTACCTTTTAGAATCTGCATCTAAAGAAAAATATTTGCTAAACTTTCAAAGAACACCTTCATAATTCTTGTTCCTTCCAGATACCAATTGCAAATGCTACATTTTAGTACCCCCTTTTCAGTTTTTAAATTTAGCCATGAAATATTTAGCTGTAAAATTAGATTTGAAGTGCTAGAAGACTTTTAACACTTTCACAAACATGACTGCACCATGAAAGCTCTCCACAACCATTTTAATGACATTTAGTGCCTCATCTAAAATTTGTATTGTTTTCAGTTATATTCTAGAATGCCCTAATGGTGAAATGGCATAAGAACTTGATATAATGATTAAGCTTGACATTGAATAGTGATATTTGATGACGAGTTTATTAGTTGAATGATAACTAGCACTAAAAGTTTATTATTTCTATTTTCTCCTATACTTTATCCTTCTAGTATACTTTTATAACACCTTATGCCAAAAGCTCAAACAACTGACTCAGGAAACAATACTTGTCTATTTTTTAAGGCAGTCATATTCCCTGAAAAAATTTTAAATAAAAATTTAGCACTACATTGGCATTGCTGGGGGATTGAGGTGTCTGAATGAATTTTCCCACTATTTATCCTTTAAACTCTTTAGCCAATACTTTTTCTTTTTAGGTGCTGGGAAATCACACTCAGGGTTTTGTGCATACTAGGCAAGCTATCTGTACCTAAGCTGTATGGCAAAATCTTTATTACATCTAATCACATTTCTAACCTTTTATTGCTCAGGACTAACAATTACTAAGTCCTGTTATGTACAGTAATGCTTCTGGGTGTTATTTAACCAGACAGGACTTAAGTTTGATTTTTAGTCCAACAAAATTAATTACCGTTCCACCTCCTTTTCCTTAATGATAATTGTTATTATCAAATGCCCTCTGATACAAGAGCATTCAAGTATAGCTGTGGTTGTTAAATACATTAAATGTATTACTGGCCAGTATATTCAAGAGGTATTTATTGAATAAATAACTCTCTTCATAGCTGATCTACTTCTGACCTGTTCTCAAAATCCAGATCTAGTTTTCAATTTACTATCAATGCAGGATTGATTTTTGTCAAGGCTGCTATTAAAAACACATTAATAAAGAAATGCTAACCATTTGTTAAATTTGTACTTTCCAATCAGATTCTAAAAGACAGAGGAAACTGTAAACAAGTGAGATGCTAATCTTTAAAGACATGCATTTATAAATTCTGAATTAGTGAGACATTTATCTTCATCTTTAAAAGCAAACAATTATTATATACCATTTGCTTCAAAAAACAGATTCCAGTCCAGTTATTCTGTTCGATATTCTGAAGCACTACTGTATTTAGATTACAACTTTTGTTTTGATTTTAAGTCCTAGTTTATACTTTGACAATAAGGCCCCTGGCTGGAAGTTTTTTTTTTTTTTTTTTTTTTTTTAAAAAGTCATTTGAAACACTGTTCTTATTCTAGAAAATATTCCTGGCATACATCACTGAGGATGACTATGAAAAAGTAAGTTCTCCTCAGTTTTGGTATCATGAATACTTACATGCCCTAAAAGTGGTTTCTTCTCATTTTTGACACTGAGAATTGTGTATTCATTTACCTTTGCTTGGCTCCTGTTGGTCAACTGGAGCTCTGAATTTTCTTCCTAGAAAATTCAGAAAATTTTCTTCCTAGAAAATTCTACTTCCTAGAAAAGTAGAGTTGGACTACTTTGCCAATAAACCTATTTTCTACATTGTTAACTAAGTCAGGGATAATGAATAAAATAAAAATATAATACTGCTCCTAACTGGGGAAGGCAACAAAATCCTAACCACACAAAAAGCCATATGCCCTCCCCCCCCAACACCCAAACAGGGATATCTAAAGCTGAGAATCTACAGTTTTAGTTGTAAATTCATTCAACAGAACCTTTCTATTTGTATGTAAAGGGCAAATACTCACTTTTATAAATTTTTTAAAGATTGTAAGGACTAGAAATACTCTAGTAAATGTGAATAATGGTCCAGTAGTCATTAACAGAACCGTTATTTTTCCCTTTTAAATAAAACCCATCATTTTTCACTCCAAACCTTATCAAACACCTCCATGGCTCTTCCCTCACTGTATTTAATTTCTCTAGACTACTCCAAAATTTGATGCCTCAGTTTCAGGTTGAGCTAATTAGTCCATAAGACTATTTTCTACAAGGCATTTTCATAATTTTATTTATTAACATTAACCAGTTCATTTCTGTAGATTATAACAATTTCTTATACATTGATGATAATTAACTTTTAAGGAAAACAATTTGAAATGCAGCCTTACAAACAACTTGGAAAATTTCACATCTAGAGCTTTCTGACTAACAGAACTAAGATGGTAAAAGTACTACCTTGCACAGTCAGGGATAAAAATACAGTAGCAAGAAAACCCCTATTTCTGAAGGTACTATTTACTGTGAACCTTTGCATTCCATGAAAATTTGGAATTACTGATAGTATCAGGAAGTTATCATTGCCAAATATACAATTCATGCTGAGACCATAGATTATTTCAAGGGTGTAATTACAATCATTTATTTCTATTAAAGAAAGGGTTTATTAGTAGGGAATATGGAAATCTCAAGATTATTTTTTAAAATTAGATGATTCTAGGAAAATATCACTAAATGCCTGCTCATTCAACTCTTCTTTTAAGAATCACTGTTTTCTACTGCAGTGCTACAAACCATTCACTATTGTAAAACACCTCAAAATATCCACAGGAAAATAGATTTTGTATGCATAAATCATGAATACATGATTCAAACTTCTTTTGAAGTAGTCATGGTCAAGTATACTCCTGACATCTGTTCTCTTTTATCAGTGGGGCTCATTTTTAAAGGCTAAGGTATAACTTGGTAATATACTACAAAGAGAACTGGCATTAATTAAAAGTACAACTTTGGCCTTATCAGCTTTAACTGACCTTCTGATAGTTCACAATACTTCCAAGGGTCTCAAGTCAGGCAATGAAATAACTAATTTCCACAGATGCCCAAATTTGAAGAATCTGAGTAATAGCAAGTGTGTTCATGTAAAACTTCATTAAAAATCCTGATTTTTAATATTTACCTCAATAAAAAGAACAATTAGACCCTTGATATTCATATATAACAATGGTAATGACTATTTAAGAACCTTAAAAGTATGTAACAGATACTACTCATTTTTTAAGACACAAATCAGGATCCGCTAACTCATGAGATAGTCCAGTCATGATCTCATGAAAATAACATCATTGCCTTGTTTAGAAACTTTATTTAGAAGAGACAAGCCTATATATTTTTCTTCCTGAATGCAAAAAGATTATATCTGGAAATCTAACATAAGATCCCAAGAGGATGTCCAGTTTAAACAAAGTAGAAAAAAAATATATTAAAGTACTGTCCCTACTAAAGAAGTATACTTTAAAATTACCCAGTATTGCTAAACTCCCAAGAATCTTATACATCCTTTTACACACTTAGCTAACTTCTGTAACCAAGTTTTAAAGGGCTAATTTGCCATCTGTATGAGAAAAAAAAAAATTTATCAATTTGTCTTAGCACCAAGTCCTATGAAAATACTTTGTATAAAAAGTTTAAAGGGCACAATGTTAAGAATTAAACCAGATCTTTTTAAAAGACTACAAAGACTAACTCCTTTCAGTTATTAACTAGCTACTGTATTTTTAGAAAGGAGTAATTTCTACCATATTATGCCTGATAAAGTTCTATATTAACACAAGAACAGAACTTAAGCCACAAATCTCTCATTTTTCTTTGGGGACAAAACCTAGGGACTGAACTCAGGGACTCTACCACTAAGCTACATCCTCAGCCTTTGACAGAGTCTTGCTAAGCTGCTGAGTCTGGCCTTGAATTTGTGATTCTTTGTCTCAGTTTCCTATATAGCTGAGATTTATAGGCATGTACCAAGACCAGCAATTTCTTGTATATTATTAACAATAGCTCAGATTTATCAGCTTATAAAATTTTCCATTTTCCCAGGTGGAAAAATCAGAAGAAACAGTAAAGAAAGAGTTGAGAAATTTAAAAGTATTTATCAAGCCACACCACATTAGTTTCACTTACAGATGAAATGATATTTTAAAATCTAGAAACAGGCCATAGAAATCAGTCACGTAGAATAGACAAAAATAGTCTCAAAATCAGGTAAACAAACAACAGCTATTACCACTTATGACATTTTATTGGCATATGACAATTTACAAGGGTCCCTGATGCATCATGATACATCACACTGAGTAAGAATCGTTTAACCATCTACATTCATTCTTATTGGGTAATATTTTCTCTCAAATTATAATTTAACTCCCAACGCTGATTTTAACTGTGACAAAGGGGAACAACAGCAAGAAGACTGCAATTTGAAAAACATATTTTACTTTTTATATTAAAATTCCTAGGATGCTGAAAAGTATACACACCTAGGAACTGAGTCATGGCCTTCTTAAACAGCTTTCTTATTTTTTTCTGGAAATATCCTTTGGTTCGTTTTTATTTCCCTTCTCTAGGCAAAAGGAAGTTTGTTAATGCAAGTATCAAAGAGTTATTTCCTGGCACTCATAAACAAATATCCTTACCAAGAGGAATCATTCAGCTTTAATAACATGTCATAAAGTGTAAAGTTAAATTGTGGTTTAAAAAAATAAACAGACCACTTTTTATATGCTTGGCTCTGTAAAAAATAAACATCCATAATGGTGTTCTATGTCAGAGTTCTCAGAATCACCCTATCCTACTATATATTCTGGTAGGATACTCTTCCTTCAAAGTTTTTTTAAGTTAATAAAAGTAACCAAAGATTAAAGCAATGCATTTGCACTTAGAATGTAACCTGCCCATAGGACCTTAAGCAGTTTTATTTCCAATTTATCTCCCTATTAAATAACTTCTCAGCAAATCCCATTTTCTCTGTCTTAAGCAGAAAAGCAAAACTGCACAATTATAAAGAGGGATTTGGTGTCTAGTAAAATAACAAACAGTTAAGATAAAAAGTTTTATATACTTATACAAAACAGAACAATCATGAAAATTCTCTACTGGAGGATCAAATCCATGTTGCTTTAATAAGCATTAAAGCTGAATAGAGATTTATTAATTGTATCCTGATTAAAGCAACACAAAGTTACTTATGCAGGCATATCCTGTATAACTAGACAATTTCAGAAAGACAAAATTAAAGTGAGAAATCATGCAATACCAAGGAGTTTAGGCCACAAATATATACTGACTTTGGTTTTAGTTTAGTTTCCAATAGCTCTTAGCAAAGTCCCTGGCAGTAATCAAGGTGCTAGACACACTGCAAATCATCAAAATTGAGGATGAAAGAGCCATATACTTAAGATCTTTAAAATTTTATAACAGAAGCATTATCTTCTTCAAATGTAAACATATACAACTAATTCAGATGCTGAATTAAAATGAAATGTGCTAGCTTTATGTATGTTGAAAAAACAAAATCACTGGCAAGTGTACCCATTTCAAATTTTCATTCCTTTAAAAAAAGCTATTAACATAAACATAGAAAGTAATTTACATTTGAAAGATCATCTCTATCTGAAGAATAGAACCCATAGAAAGTAAAAGAAAAAGCCATTTTACCAACTGCAACTGAAAAGGAGGAAAAAATAAAATAAAAACCAAGGTAGATCAATGCTACAACATTGCCAAAACCTTTTATTGGTGACATTAGAAAAACAGGTTACTTAAAGTACCAAGAAACAATATGCTGTGTGTCTTATTTTCTTATAGTCACACTACAAACTAATTTTCAGCTGTTCAAAAGCACAAATAAATATGTAAGCTGTGAAATATATACTAACGCATCAAATTTATTCTGCAGGAATCCTCCTCCATACCAACACCAGGATTACAGGTTTTGTTGTTTTTGTGATTTCCTTAAACTAAGATGTTCTGTGGTACTCGGAGTTTTACTTGCAATATTATTACAAATCAGTTTTCTCTCAAATAGCTGGTATCTAAGACCATGACTCAAACTATCAAATAAGAATAAAAAGAAAACAATGAATTTTAAACTAAAATAGGAAAGACTTGTAAAAATGTGTTTTTATAGGCCACTGCTTGCTTTCAGTAAAAATAACATTTTCTCAAACCTTTCAATCTAATAGTTTGTACTTTTTAGTCACTGGCAAACCTTTCCTGCCTTCTTTAAACATTTGCTGAAGTGTGAAACTAGCATAGTTTACCAAAAGAACAACTTTATGGTATACATCAAAAATTAGCCACCCTACAATGTAGTGTTCGAATTAAGGAAGATGTTAAACAGATGTATACAGTTAAAATAATTAGTGTGGTCACTATAAACAATTTCTGTTCAGGGATTTGTAATGTAGAGCTAACGTTTACTTCAGAATAAAACATTAACAAACAGGGAGGGAAGAGAATCAGAACTTTCACAGAGTTGTACTTGACCATATCTTATAGACAAAGCAGAATTACAATGCATGTAACAAAAACAGTAAAAGATTTTTTTTTAAAAGTTGATAGTTACAAATATGGAACGTTAACAATTTTCTACTTTATTTCAGTACAATTTTCAACATACAGTCTACTATTTTTCAAGATATTTGAAGACTTAAAACAAAATTTCTATAGACTACTTGCAAACAGTAAAATTTAAGTAAAATGCTTACATTCTTATCTGAAACAAAAATCAGGTAAAAAAAAAATGGTGGGTGCAAGTTCTGCTCTCTGTTGCCAATTTACTTCAGATACACTATTCCTAAGAAAAGAATAGAGAAATTGATGATTAATAAGGATAAGGACAGTGAAATATATACTATAATCCCATGTTCATAAAAATTAACTGATTTACCCACCAAATTCATACCAGCGAAAATCTTTCAAGAATCAAGGTGAAATTATCTACCTTTTCTTCTTTACGTCTCTCCTTCTTTTCTTCATTATTTTCCATGGACTCTTCTTCATCTTCAACAATTCCATCCCCTTGGTATTTATCATGAGTCCATTTTGGACTGCTACCTGATTTTTTGAAATTAAAGCGCCCTCTGCCACGCTGAAAAGTACCACGACCTCTTCCTCTTTTGGCCCAATAATCCACACCATCATCTCTGTCATCATGCTACAGAAAGGTTAAAAAAAAAAAATCATCAAATCTTTCTTATAAAAAGATGACTTCTCGTTCAATCATAAATAATGTAATTAATCTTCTGAAAACTGGGTATGTGAGACTGGTTATCTCCTAAAACATGGTAAAACACTGTCAGAGTAATCACATCTTAATACTTAGAAACACAAGCACCCCTTAAGGGTTGCCCAAACAACTACTAGGAAACTCTCAACTGATAAACTACCACTAATTTTCAGAATTCTAATTGTTATGGTGTCTGTATTATATCAACTTAAGTCCATGGCTGTTATGCTTCATGCAATGAGATAAAAATATCGGACTTTTTCACAACAAAATTACTATAGTCAGAAAGATGTGGCAAAGTAATAAAAATGTCCTTACAATATTATCATATTCATTAAATAAAAATATGTGGTATGAACTATACCTTATAGATAATATGATTTTAAAATACTATATTAAGATTCAAATCTAGATCAATGTATAGTACATATCAATCTTCTAGCTAGGAAATTTTAATGACAAACCATGATAGTATAGTCCCTGGAATAATGTTGCCTCAGCTATTTTCTTCTTCACCAACTTGAAGTACTGCAGTTATTACATTCCAACCTTAACTTTTCATTTACTTTATTCAATTACTGATGCTCCCCCAACTTACAAATTATTCTATTAAGGAAAAAAACAATCTCCAAAATTGAAAACTACCCAACTTGGTAGAGCAGAATATTACATTGCAAATACAAAAGACCGTCTCCTGAATGTACCTTTAATGAACTATAGCCCACCTGAATTTATAAACTCTTAGATTTGTCACCCACAAAATGGGAAATAGAGCAAAATGATGCCCCTTTACAAGGAAACAAGCATAATCCAAACAAAATATTGTATAGTCTTTGTGCATGTGTATTTAATACAGATTACCCTCTTGCATGATTTACAAAACTGGGATTATATAAGTAATTAACATACTATAATGAAAGAACATTTACCAATCTCTATTAAAACAAATGAAAGGGGGAGAGATATAATTCACTCGGTAGAGTGCTTGCCTCACATGCACAAGGCCCTGCGGTCAATCCCCAGCACCACACACACACACAAAAAAAGCAGGGGGCAGTAGGGAGATTATATGGTAGAGGTGTGCACAACCCCATATAACTATCAAAAAATGAACTCAAAACATCATCGTGGCTGGGGATGTAGCCACTAGTACAGAGATTTTTCTATCATGTGCAACACACTACAGTTGATCCCCAAAAATGCAAAAGACAAATAAAATCTAAATACATCAGGAAGAATTTAATTGCAAGCCTAACATAAAATATTTTAAAATAGTTGGCCACTCAAAATGATACCTACTCGATTATATAATTTCATATGTGTTTACAGCATTAACACACCCACTATAAAAGTGTGGGTTTTGTGTGTGTGTGTGTGGTACTGACCCAATATTCCATGGATCTGTGGGAAGAGGCAGAAAGTTTCAGAGTAAAGGCACAGGTTCAAAAAAAAATATTAACAGAAACCTTAACTCTGTAAATAATGGTGTTAATAATAATGCTTCTAGGCTGGGGATATAGCTCAGTTGGTAGAGTGCTTGCCTTGCATGCATAAGGCCCTGGGTTCAATCCCCAATACCACAAAAAATAATAATAATAATAATAATAATAATGCTTCTATAGTGCTTACTATGGGTAAAGTTTTATTCTGAGTACATAACATGGATTTGTTCAACAAACCCTCATAAAATACTGGTAACTGTCCCTGTGTTAGATTTTTAAAAATTGAGATGCTGAAAAATTAAAATCCCTTATGATCATCACCCATAGAGCCTCGTAAATGATTAATTGTACAAGGCAGCTAAGAACTAGCAGAAATAGAAAAGGTGGTGGTAAAGTTGAAAGTCACTTTAAACTGGCCATTACTTTTAGAAGTACAATCATCTGAAATTTGATAAACTGTCTTTCAGAAGGTATCCTAGCAGTTACCAAATTTATTTATGCTAATCATATTCTTAATCTTCAAATTCTAAGAATTAAGTAATTTGAAGCCTGGCACAATGGCACATGCCTCTAATCCCAGCATCTCAGGAAGCTGAGGCAGGAGGATCACAAGTTCAAACCCAGCCTCAGCAACTTAGCGAGGCCCTAGCCAACTTGGCAATATGCTATCTCTAAGTAAAAATATATTTTTTAAAAGGCTGGGGATGTGGCACTGTGGTTAAGCACCCCAGGACTCAATCCTTGATACCAAAAATAAGAATAATTTCAGATTAAATACATTATTTCACAAAGGGCCAGAAGCTAGCTAAAATATGAGTATCTATTAAAACCAGGATCTTTTGGATCCTCTTATCCTTTCTCATCCTTTCTCTATAGGACCATCAAGTTTCAGGGCTAAACATATACATAAAGCTCAGGGTCAGAGCAGCTGCCTAGTACGTGCAAGATCCTTGTTTGATCGCCAGCACTACTATCTATCTACACACACACACACACACACACACACACACACACACACACACACACACACACAAAATCAAGTTTCAAAGGGTTACCTAAACGCCAATCTTGATCTTCTCCCACCTTCTTCACCAGGGACTTTTCCTCTGAAGATACATCAATTTAACAACACCAAGAACCTCCTTATTTCTCTACTTTCCCATCTACTCCAACTCTTCAAACTCACTTATCACTCAGGTTCTACTTTAGACTAATATCTTTCTGGCTGTTCTTATTACTGAAAACATTACCAGTTTCACAAAAATAGTTGATAGGAAATTTCAGAAAAGAATTCAAGAAATGCTACTATAACTCAGAATTGGAGGATCAGTGGTACTTCAAATCCTGTTCTGGAGCCCAATACGTGGGTCCAAGTACTGACCACATTCCTAGCTACATAATGGTCAAGCTACTCTATTTTTTTTCATAGTTTCTTTATCTGTAAAAACAGAATGATAACCCCAGCTCAAAAGGACTTTATATACACTCAATAAGTTAATACATATAAAGTATTTAAGAAAGTCACCTACCATACTACAGTAATTCTCTGTAAGTTGCTACTTATTATTTCTAAGTATTTTTATCAACAAAGGCAAAATTTCTATACTACTGATCATTCTGAAAGATCCTAAGGGAAATATCTAGTATTCTGAAATTTCATTTCTTCTGACTTCTATCTTTGATTATATTTATATTCAACACTAGCTGTATAAAAGATCAGTCTCTTTACAAAAAGACGAAAAATAGATATAGTTCAAATATTCACTAAAATTTGAATAATAAAAACTTTAAACTGGGAGACTGAAACAGGAGGATCACAGGTTCAAAGCCAGCCTCAGCAACTTAGGAAGACCCTAGCCAAGTTGGCAAGACCCCATCTATAAATAAAATATGAAAAAGGACTGGAGTATGGCTCAGTGGTCAAGCGCCCCTGGGTTCAATGGGGGGAAGGGGAGACGACATGTAAGACTGAAGTTGCTGTTTCTTCTTTGTTGTTATTTTGGTACTGGAAACCTGAAAACAGAGGCACTCTATAGTGAGATTGTGATCCTCCTACCACAGCCTCTCAAGTCACTGGAGGGCCTGCACCACCATACCCAGTTAGAGTTGTTATTTCAATGGCTCACAACAAATATGAACCAAAATAATCAAGTCGGAGAATTGATTTATAAGGAAAATAACTTGTGTATTCAGGTGCTAATTTTACTCAATGTTCTAGTGAATATCAGTGTGACACATGCATACATACAGTTTTATATACAAATTTTCAAACTTTAGCCCAGAACAGAAACATAAAATAGTACAGCTACTGACAGGCACAGTGGCACACATCTATAATCCCAGCTACTTGAACACTAAGGCAGGAAGATTCCACTTTGAGAAAAGCTTCAGCAACTTAGCAAGACTACATCTCAAAATAAAAATTTAAAAAGTCTGGGGATGTAGCTCAGTGGCAAAGTGCACCTTGGTTCAATACTCAGTAGAGAAAAAAAAAAGCGAATAAATTACTAATTTGAAGTAGCTAAATTCTTAAAATAACACAATTTATCTTATTGATAAAATACATTATTGAAAGTCAAAATCTGAAAGAATGGCAGAAGATCTGACCTATATAATATATCTTTAAATTAGTGAAGTGGCAAACAATCATTATGTACTGTGGTCACCTCTCATTCCCTTTTAACTGTTTCACCTTTCACACTTGGTTTACCTCTCATACTTTACTGGTATTACTCATTCCCCAACCCTTAAGATTTTTTTCATCTAAAACTATATTAACAACTACCCATTGGACATCTCCACTTGAGTTCTCTCCTTGTCAGAACCTGACCAGAACAGAATTTGATCTTCCCAAAGACATTAGCTTCCCTCTACAAACCCTATTCTGTATTACAACACTCATTCAACTAGATGGTCTCAAAAGTTCCCAGAAGCACATTCTCACCTTTTCTCAAATGTAGCCTCTAAATCTTCTATTTAAAAAAACATGATTTTTCTGAACCCCATTTAAAACCCAAATTAAAGTACTATGGCGTTCCCTATCAGACTTGCTTTTCCTCTGTTCTCACAAACTTATACCACCATCCAATGCACTAAAATTCTCTATGCATACTGTTTAACCCCTTCTGAAATCTGTAGTATAGTTGCCCACCTTTTAAGCTCAACCAAGTTTGAGTCAAACCAAGTTTCCCTAGAATGTCGTTCACTTCTGGCAAAAATCCACATTTCCCTCCTTTGGGAAAAGCCACCATATATAATTAGAAAATTTCTCTATTACTGGTCTCTTAAGTATCATCTTATATGTGTTTTTCCTTTTCTAGTACCCCAGTATAAACAGTAGTCTGTTAATAAATCAAAAAGTAGACGCATCTATTACTCAATCAAATGCCTTTTACTTTCCAGACTGTCAACTCAAAAGCAACTTAGTACAAATTTCCCATGAAAAAGGTATAAACTGAGCAAACACAACTCATATAACTTTTTCAAACTTCTGGACGTTTAAAAAAAAAAAAAAGTAGAAATAAACTTGAATGAATTACATTTACCATTTTCCTAACAAAACAGAGATTCACTTCAGAATGCAGCTTTACCCTCTATCTAAGCATACCTATCATGGACATTCAGGTTTAGTCAACTATATTTATAAAAAGCCAAATGAAAAAAGAAAAATCTTCTAATAAATCCATTACTATTTTCATCCTTGCTTCCACTAAGCAACTAATTCTTAAACTAGCCTCTGAAGCATGACTTCCCTGAAGAACTATTATTTATTTAAAAAAAAAAAAAGAATACTTTCGGATAATACTTTTTGACATTTTTAAGTCTAACTCTATAATGCAGGACAGACCCTTTCCCTCATGACAAATTGCAGAAAATTATCATCCGCATCTGGTGATCTTTCAGAACTCATCGCCTCTAGGTTTATTCTTGGAAAACTACTTCATCTACATCACAAAGAAGCATCAAATCAGTGCATCTAGCCCATTTTCTAAAATTAAATTTTAGAAAAATTTAAGGATCCCTAAGATCCTTAGTTACAAGTAGTATGAAAATATTTTCCATCTTTAAACAAATAGCTCTGATGATTAATAGGGCATCTGAAAGAGAAGTTTCTGCAACTACTGTCTTATAGACAGATATGAAACATATATTAAGCTCAACTATAACATAATGTTCTTCTATGAACGGCTATCAAATCAGGTTTATTTTTAGTTGACCTTGATCAGCCTACATATGATATCAAATAAGAATAACATGAGTAAAGGGACCCACATTTTTAAAAAGCTTCAAATCATCTGAGTAATGATTTTTTGGAAAGGTTTCCCATGTTATGGTGAATCTTTCTCATATTAGTGGATATCTGTACTCAAATGTATTCACCTAGTATATCTTGAAAATAATTGCAAACCAAATAAACACAGATTTCTAACACCCACCAAGAAGTACTTCTTGCTCTTTGGGGTATATTCTGGATCCCATTCCTCTTCCTTCGGTCTCTTTTGAAAAGTAGTATTTGAGTTGTTTGGACCAGTATTTGTCCCAGCAAAAACTCCTCTGGCTCTTCCTCTGCCTCTAATTCGAAACTGATTAACATTAACAAAATTGTTTAGTAATGCAATCAAAAGTATTTAGTCACATGCAAACTCTAATTTTACTGCAATAACAAAAAAAAAAAAAAAACATATTGCCATTTCTACCTGAATCTTAATTTCATAGCCACTGAGGATGAAAAGAATGGCCATTTTATAACATAGGTGGGGGGGGGAAACAACTCTGCATACTGATGAGGGGGGTGAGGGGGGGAAAAACCTAAATGTTAGAAGACGCACTTTTAAAGGCCTGAATTTTAAAACAAACAAGCCCGCTCCCACTTTACTACCTAAGAGTTGCCTAGTTCCTCTGAATTATCTCAGGAGTCCGAAGTATTCAACAACATCTATTACCATATAAGAAAAGTTCGTCTCTTCCCACATGACCTAATAAATCCTACAATAAGAAACGAGCTGAAGATAGAAATATGAATCTATAACTTAAAGTGGCAAGAAGATGTACTACTATGGAATTATTAAACAGTTTAACAACTTTATGGAAACATAAGGATAATGTGTATACAAGGTAGAACAGAAAGTTATATATTACTTCAATGCTGATACACATAAGCAAGGACTTGAACAGGCAAAAATGAAAATAGCTGTAATACAGAGATGAACATATAAAATATTTTAGGTTTTATGATAGTTTTTCAAAAACTAATAAAGTGTTTTAAAAAAAATAGATCTCCACCAATAACTTTCCTTGATACTCATGTTTCTAAGGACTACAAAGGACTACATGTGCTCATTGATCTGAAAAAAATCTAGTTCACAGATGCTTTAAGATTTCAAAAATGGCATTTTTTACTGAAGACATTACTTTAAATGTCATTTCATTTTTCAAAGCTAATTCTGACTTCAGGAATAATGATTCACATAAAAGATAATCTATCTTTGACATCCCTGTGTACAATAAAGTAAAACCCTATCAAATAATCTAAGGCGATTTTATTACTTACAAAGGTTCCCCGTGGTCGGCTAACTCCTGCAAAGCCTGAGTATTCTTTCATTTCATGATGGGTTTTAAATTCTTCTTCTCTTTCCTTCTTACTCTCCTTTTCTTCTCGAGAACTGGGAGAAGAAGGTGATGCTGAAGAGGACGAAGATCGAGAATGATCTTGCTCTCTACTTTTATGTTTACTGCAAAATAAAGAAAACAAAAAAGTGCCATTTTTAAAAAGATAGAGAACCCTGTTGAATCTTAGTAACAAGAGGGATATTCAAAAAACTATCCCCTATTAAAATTATTACATAAGTAAAATAATTGGGTGTTAAACTTTGACAGTCTGTTTCCATTCTCTTTCAATGTTTTACACCACTATTAAAAACATGCTATGGTCTAAACTAGTAGACTGTTAAACTTCAAGAATGAGGTAGAGTTCTCCAAATATTTTTAAGTTAACTTATAGAATCTTTTGTTATTTTAATGAAAGGAAAAGAGGAGTAGGAAAAAGAAGGTTCTTAAGGCCAAGATTAAAATGACTGTAGTTTGTACACCCCGGGTGAGAACAGTTTGTATGGTTTGGGCCATAACACCAATATAGAAATAAAAAGCACATGACATTGCAAATACCAATCATAATTATAAATACACAAATAAAACACACCATTTACCTAAAGAACAGCAAGAAAAACAATTATCTACAGTATTTTGTATTCCTAGTATTTATTTGACTCTATGATGATCAAATTTACATGATTCTAATCCAACACCTGAAAAGGTCATACCTTTGATAACTCTTACCACTGCTAACAGTATCCATGGTAACATTATTTTGAAAAGAGTAATACACATTGCTACTCCTAGTCCTTCCTCCCCACCCATCTCTCCCATGTTAAACCACTAGATATCAGTTTAAAATTTTTGTACTCTGGGTGTTATGAGTTGAAAAAGTGCGGAATCAAGCATAACGAACCAAAGTTCTTACACAAACTGTTTCTAGAAATGCACTGCATTGAAGTCCAACCTCCTGATGTAGCCTGGATAATAGGACACATTAATTTGTCATTTTTTTTTTCAGTGTTAGCTTGCTATTCCAAAGTTTTTGTCCTCATCCACCATAAGCCGTGTAAAAGACAAATACATTTTTGCTGTAAAACAAATAATTTTAATTGTTTAAATTTAAACATTCGATTACATAGTCAAAATTGAAAGCAATTAAGCTGACAATTATTAAAGGCTAATTAGAAGCTAAAACCTAACTCGGACAATTTTAACAATTACCTGTCATCTTTGTAAGATTTGTATTCCTTGTAATCTTTGGGAGTTTTTTCTTGCTTTCTTGATCCACTGGATTCCCTGGAGCCCTTGGAATCCCCCCGTTCTTTACTTCTTTCTTTTCTACGGCGATCAATGTCATGCCGAAGATCAGCAGAATCACACCTTAATTTTTTATCTCCCTATAAAAGACAGATAAGTACAGAGTTTAGGGAAGAAACAGAAAATATACATACATACACACAGACTTATGCCAGTTTCTAAAAAAAATTGGCATTTTGGTATCAGAAAAAAATGGATCATATGATATACTATAATCATCCTTAGATTCTTTTTTAGTTTTTCCCCCAATTTTTTAACTAAATATGTGTATAAGTGCAGTAGGACTGAAGAAATTGCTAAAAACTAATTATCTTGAGTATTTTATACATTGATTAAAAGTAATTCCTAAAATATTCTGTACAGTGAAAAGATAAACATTATTCCACTCAGAACATCCTCATTAATTATCCCTCATCCTGCCAAATACCTTTTTTATAACAATTGAAAAATGTCATAATCTCAAAATTATGATGTAGCCTTCTGCCTATAAATTTGAGGGATCCTAAAGTAATGATTCTCATTAACTAAGCCTCATTATCATCAAGCTCTTCCCAAGTCAGTCGACAAACTGAAAAAGCACTTCAAAAATAAGAATACTATAATTTCCATAACATGCAAGTGGAATATGATTAATGAAACCAACTGAGGTTGAACAAGGGTTGAAACAAAGCCAGAAAGGTCTTATTCGAAATCCTGTACTCAGTATCTTGGACCATACACTGCCCTTTCTCAATTCAGGTATTGCAACGGACATTAGTTTAACTGGGTCACAATTCACCTCCTTCTTGTTCCATTGCTTTTTCAAATACTATATAATTTAGGAAGATGGAAAGAGGCATCTAGGAATGAAGAGAAATTATACATCAGTAAGATGCTAAGCAATGTGGACATCCTTGATAGTATTCAACAATAAGAAGTATTTATTCTGGGAAGTCTAGCTATAATATTCATAAGCATTCATAAAACTCAAAGTACACACACACACACACACACACACACACACACACACACACCTCCAAATGAGAACTACTCACCTATTTGCTCCTAGGGTAACAAAAATCTAATCAAGAGCAAAAAACTATCACCTAGGTAATACCAAGTCCACAAGTAACAAGTGAAACTACTTTGTGAATTGAAAACTATATATGTATATATATATATATATATACACACACACACACACATTAATTGCATATTAACATGTTTATCAGAAAGATGAAGGATAAATAAAAACCAATGTCATATCCTCTTGTCCATCCATCAGTTATCACTATTCTCTCTTCCAGATCAAAATCTAGTCTGAATAATAAGAGAAAAAAATACTCACTGTCAAGAGAACAGAAGACTAAATTTGGGGGAAAACAAAATTAACTAACATTGAACCCAAAGTAATGAAGATAAAAAAAGCACAAGAAAAAAAAAAAATCAACTTCTCGAAATAGGTTTTTCCAAAATAAACATGCCCCATGCAAAGCAATCACTTTCTTTGTAAACTCTAGATTCCACAACCCAATAGATTAAGAGCATGCCCTCTTTAAATAATTTGTATGCTATCAGCTTCTAGTAACAAAAGTGCCAGGGTTTCAAAGTAGCCCAATTATTCCACAACTCTGAAAATCAAATGTATTCTCATTTTTTTAGTTAGAAAAATCAAGATCCAAGAAGTTAATTATTTTTCAATCATAACAGAGACTACTTACTGATGGCCAGAATTAGAACCAAGCAATTCCTGCAAAAGCTTCCTAATCTATTCAAAATAAGAGACAGTTGCTCCCTTCCACCTGTTTTGCACACAGAACGAACATTTGTTCTATAGGCTATTCCACCTAAAAAATGTCAATTTTGAAATACGAGGTTTATCAGAGTGTCCTCAAGCACCATATTCCATTCCCTCTAAGACCCTCATTCCCATGCCTCATCTTTCATAGGCTCTTTATAAGTTTAAAAGCCATCTCCCAAAACACAAATATTATAATAGAGTTTTTTTTCAAGACACACTTAGAAATCAGTTTACAGATTGCCTCTTTATAGCACACATAAAAATGCCCCAATAGCATAGGGATTACTTGTTGCTATTTGTGAACAACCTTTACTTTAAGCACACACAAATTCTAATATCCATCTCAAAACTCTATAGAAACCATAATATAATTTATATCTTTGCTATCATCATCTTCCTTTATTTACTCTGGCTCTTTACATTTTCTTAGGACTAAATATTTCCTTTTCACTAGCATTTTCAAAAAGTCCTTTCGTTTTTAATTTAAGGTACTTTATTGTCAGCTTACTGTCTTCTAAAAAAAGCAATATGTATACTACCATAAATATATTTACAAATTAAAAATAGAAATTATCTAATAAACATTTTGCCTTAAGAAAACTATATTTAGTACAGTATCATTACGCTGAACTTAACAAGAAAAAGAAATGCATTCAAAAATGTACCTTCTGATTTTCTTCTTTAAAAACTCTCTCTTCCCCTGCTAAACGGGTATGCTTCCTCAGGGCACTTGGAGAGATGTCGATTCTCCTTAATGTAAATAAAGTGTATTTAGTACAAAAAAATTACTTCTTTGGAGAGATACTAGAAGTTACTTTTCTTCCAATCGACTCACAATAAGACTATTAATTCCTAATAGAAACAATATCCATTAGGGATAAATCAGAATGCTTTGGCTACATTTTTATATATAAGTGAAACCTGACATTTTAAGTAACCATTTTAATTAACAAAAAATAATTTTTGTAATAAGTATTAAAATTACTGTGCAATCTTAACACCTCATTTTCCTCAGTGAACACATGAATATAATCACTAGCTCCTTAACACTCTTCCTAGTTTTAACTATTCAGTATAAATATTTTCTCATATTCAATACAATAATCTTTTGGGGTTTTATTCTATATCTCTCCTTTCAATGACAGTATCAGCTGAAAATTCCCAGTGCTTCCTGAGAAAGCACTATCCATACTACAGCAATTAAGTACTAAGCACTGAATTAGATACTGTATAACCAGTATCACTGTCACCATCACCCTGAAAAGTATTATCCTTATTTCTGCATGTGAAAAAAAAAAATCGTTGTCCAAGATTAAATAACTTGTTCCTCACAACGCAATGAAGTCATACAGCTAGTCAACATACATATGTCAACATACATATTCTTTTTGTGAAAAAGTACTATGTTTCACCAAACATTTTTATTTCACAACCTTATTAGTAGAAAATGAGAGGGGGAAAAAAAAAAAAACAAAGTTTACTTGGATCATGATAGCATATACTTTCTGTATAAACAATTTCCTTCTATTCAAAACAATACTTTAACACGCAAATTCAGTACTACACATACCTGTGTATCTCAGGGCTCTTTTGCCGGGTACTATGTTCTTCAGTGGCTTTCTGATACGAAGTGAACCGCTCGTTTAGGGTCACCGCAGCAGATTTGAAGTATTGCTCTGTTGATTTAGGAGAAATACTGCCGAATTAGGAATCTTTAAGAGGGGATTTTCACTTGTGACAGAAGGGCATGTAGCAGGTGAAAAGAAAATAAAAATATTCAAGAAACCTAGCAGAAGAGAATCAAGTGTTACAAAAAGTTCCTACCCTTTCCTTTTTAACTTCTTGATTGCAAATTTCCTCACAGGTCCTTGTCAATATTACATATAATCCAAGAACAATACATTAAATCAAGTCTAATTTCACACTAATGCACTACTTCCTCAAATAGAAAAGGATCACCATGTGGATGCCCATTAATTATACCTTGTCAATTCATGAATCAATGAAGCTACTTCGAGCAAATATTTGCAAAAAAAAAAAAAAAAAAATACAGAACTACAGAGATGGTTTGAGTAAACTGATAAAATTATTTCACCAAAAACTTATGTGGACATAACAGAAATGGCTTTAAGAAAAAAGTGAAGATTGCCATTAACTGGAAAAATATTTTAATTTATATTCAGTAATTATTCCAAAAATCTGGCATCGTGGCAAACCTGACAATATATCTGATATTGTTGTCTTGTTTTACAATTTTAAAATTAGTAATATCGATACTGATTAGTTTATAAACCAGTTCAAGGTATATGCTGTAAATGTAAAATAGACGTATAAAGTCATGAGCTATGAAATGTTACATTATGAAGCAAGCTATCTGCTTAACAGGTCAACATACATCTGTGTCAACTTACCGCCCAATATCCAGCACATGTCTCATAACCAATCATTAAAACGTGAAACGGCCACTACAAGGGTAGTGCCTCAATCATAATTCCATGAAACCCAGGAATTTGAGCTAGCAACTCAGTTTTTATGCCATTTTTGCCAGGAAGACAGAAGATTCAACTTTGCCTGTATCTTTCAACAGCTATTTTACTTTGAAACATGGATTTTGCCATTTCAAAACATACTCCAGGACCTAGTTACAATGAAAAAGAAAACATCACTGGGCATTTTCAGCTCTATATAAAGTAAGAGCTGTTCAGATCGGTTGCACAATACCAAATATGAAACATAACTATCATCAATTCTTTTTAAAAAGGAAAAAAAATGAAAAAGGAAAAATTTTATCAAAATCTGATCTCAAAATTCAGCAATAAATTGTAAAATGTAAGAAAGGTCAAAAAAGGTGAAAAAAGAAAAAAATACTAATGTTTCATACTTTACCACAGTAACATGGTAATAAACTGGTTCACAATCTTACTTATAGCAAAATAGCAAAACTCTTTTGTTACCATGTTTAAGTAATTACATCCAAAAAGACTCACTCAATTATTTACTGTTTTGAAATATCAAGCCCATAAGGAATTATTAGTGACGAGTTTCAACTATTATGAATTGTTCTCATGACAAACTTAAAAAAAAAAAAAGTAAAGAAAGAAAAGAGACTTTTAAGACCAACTGCCATGAAGGTTCCTGAGAATGAACCTATTAAACAGAAAAACAAAAACACAACTTAACCTAGTTGCCCAAAAAGTCATACCCTAAAATCTTTCAAAATTATTAGTAATTCTGAAGCTAGAATTACACACCGGTGAAAACAAAAAATCATTACTTTAGTTGAAATGACAACCCTCACCTTTAGGGATCTAAAGAAATGTTCTATGATCCTAATTAGTGGCTACTTATGTAATCACTATTCATCTAACATCTTGGTAATTTTTTTAAATGAGGATAAACCAGAAAAAAAGTATTATATCAAGCAGTACAAAAAGATGACAGGAAGTTAATACTATTTTCCTCTGGTTTCAGATTTCTTTAAAAATAGAACAGAAATTCTTAAGAAATAATAGTAACCATACTGCCTCACTTTGTTATAAACCTATGCCAATAGTTAATTAAGTCATGCAATAAAAGTAATTAAGTAAAGTAATTAAGCCTTCTGCACTTCAAATACATTATACTTTTATAAAGACCTTCAGATTTAAATAAATCCACATATTTTAATATAACTTATTAGAATATTTTAATTCTACCATTTTGTTCACTTTTTATTTAATATCCTCATGACTCTTGATGTCCCTCAAGACTGGTATCTTTTCCTCAATATTGTTTTTCCAAATTTTTAGGATTTAATGTAAACCTGCTAGCCCTAGGTATAATAAAGTGTAAATAATCATTTTTTCCTGCATGCAAGAGAAGTTTAAGTCACAACACTAAACACACTAAGCATACCTTTAACATGATGAACCAAGGACACAATGTGTTGTATAAATGACTCTGAAGTGCTTTTGCTGGCCTGAGGCAACTTAATGTGGTCAAAGATGGATCGGAACTCTTGCTCCTTCTTGACAGAATGGACAAGTGTACTAGCAAGTAGCCTGTCTTTAGTCAAGGATGCAGGTCTGAAACATATGGATAACACACACACACAAACAAACAAAATATACCATTGGTTTGAATGTGAAAACACCACGTTCAGAAAATAAGATTACCAACTAAAAACCCACACAGCTTACTTACTGGACATCAGTGTGGAATTACCTGTTAGAATCATCAAGAGGAACAGGTGCCATTTTGAGTTTGACTTCAGGACGATGAGAATCACTGGCTATCATTTTGATCCTAAGTGGGCTCTCCTCTCTGAAGGTAGACTTTTCTCGTGCATCCAGATTCTTGTGTAGAGGGGGACTGTAATCAAAGAGGTCTTTGAGCTTTTCAGATTTTACCTGCTCAGGTGACTGAGTTTCTTTCTTTACTGTTATTCTTTCAGAATTTTTGTCGTCTTCCTTGTGCTTATCTTTTGTAGTGCTAGGCCTTTCCACTACGTATCCAGTCTCTTTAAGTTTATAATTTTTTTCTTCTCTAAATCCATCACTTTCTCTATTGCCTTTCAGTGAAACTTTGGACTTGTACTTGGGTCCTTCCTCCTCAGTATTCCGGTGAGATGCAGTAGCAAAATTTTTACCCTGATCTGCGAGGACTGACTTCCTGAACTGTCTATAATCCTCTGTCTCCTCTGTGTCATCCCCTTCTGAATCATTAAACTTTTGTTTTCCAGACTCTTTATCACTGAAGTAATCTAGAGCTTCCTGATCTTCCCATTCTCCCTCTGCCCTCCCTTTCTCTGATCCTTTCTCCTTTGGAGCCTCTTTATCCCTGGTATTACCCCTATCAAGCAGGAATACTCTAGACTCTTCATCTGTGAACCTGTGAATAAGCAAAGAAGAGGATAGTAACTCTGGAGTGCATTCATTGTAGATTACTTGCATACTTAAATGTGTTGCCCAATATCACAGGACCAGCAATGAGAAAATAACGCTACTGCAAAGGTGTTTTTTCAAATTCCACTTTTTATAAAATCAAAAATACCTTCACATTAAACATATGTACTGTTTTTAAATTTACATTAAATATCCTAAAGTTTAAAATGTATAAAGTGATCTCAAAAACCTATTCCATTCTGTCATAGTCCACAATTTTGCATAAACAAATCCAAATTTCTACAGAGATCTTACAATATACAACATTTAAGCTGCAATACGTAGCCTAAATTTAAATTTTGAGACCAAGAAGCAATAAAGGATAATACACAAACCTACTAGAATTTCTTATACTCAACAATGCTATTCCATTAACATCTTATCACATAAACAAAAGCACAAATGGACTTTAATGCAATTAAGATATTTAATACTCTAGCTGAATCACAAGAGTTCAAGTTTATATAAACCTAGCTCTAGAAAATGGAAATATTAAGTAGAACTAAAAGTATCAGTCAATAAAAACATTAACTATATGCTAATACACCATAAATAGTGTACTTGGTTCTATTTCCTCACTTAAGTCAATCAACACTACATTAAGAACCAAATTTAATTAATAGCAATTTTCCACAATGCGTAAAATCAGAATTTAGACAAATTTTTTTAAATGTCGTTAAAGGTACTGAAAATTCAAATTCCATCATCTTTTCCAAAGTCAGGCAGAATTTATTAAATACTGACAACTGAACTGTTTGTAATACCACCTAAGAAAGTAAAACTTAAGTGCATCATTTATGAAGATTACATTTTAGTGGTGAAAAGAACTAAAACTTTCAATGCTCTACCAATTTCTAGTTTTATAGTTCTAACATATTATTGGTCATGCTTTACACTTTTAAATTTCTCCTCACTAATATTGTTAACTTGGGACTGACTAAAAATGGATAAAATTAAGAGATAAATTAATTTTTAGTAGAACACTTAGCTTCCTTCCAAAGTTTAGCATACAAGGAGTAAAATCTGGAATTATAAGGTAGGAAGTTGTGAGTAAAAACAGCTAATACATCACAATGCAACTTTTGAAGTCATATAATTCCAAATAAAATCCAAAGAACTACTAATATTATAATCTAAATACCACCCTCCTTTAGTTCTTACCTTTTTAAGAATTTCCCAGTCTTTGCAGTTTCCTGATCTCCTCCATCAGGATAAAATGAGGAACGTCCCCTAGCCTCATCTCTGGGAGCATTCTGTGGTGTGATTGTCTTTGCAGGACTTCTTCGTGAAGGGATATGATGAATCGGACTGTTCTGAGAAGGACTGTACCTACTAGATCCATTTCCAACAGAACCAGAGCCAGACCTTTCAGGGCTATGCTGAATGGAATGCGAATGCTGAGAGGGAGTATTTTTTGCAGAATGAACTGTACTAAGCATAGGGGCATCTGAGCAAGATGAACTCTGACTAGGTGGTGTAGCAATAGGTGAAGGACTATGGGGTGATCTGGGACTATTATCATAAGCTGAAAGGCCAGGCCAAATATCACCAGATGTGGCTGATTTATTAAACTCATCAATAGATTCAGATGGATCATGTTCAAACGTATCTTTCGTTTCCTCCTGTGATTTGCTTTTCAAAGGACTCTCTTCTTGGGGTTCCCCTTCAGCTTTTTTGGTTTGTTTTTCCTGAGACCCTCGTCTTTTAGAGACAGGAGATTTGCTATATGGGGATGAAGAACGAGATGATGATGATCTTGGAGACCTAGAGGATCTATATGACCGGCGAGATCTGCTCCGGGACCTCTGAGAAGAAACGGATCTTCGTTTTGGACTCCTGGAACGCGAACGACCTCGTCTAGGACTCCTAGAGTGCCTTCTATTCCAGACAGGTCTATAACCACCTCGATGGTATCTACCTCCTCCTCCTTGATAATACCCTCTACCCCTTCCTCTGTACCCATAAGGTCGTCTCATTCCTCTATTATTTCTGTAATCTCGACGATAATCTCTAGAATAAATACGATCTCTACTACGAGATCTTGAATATGTCCTGGAACGAGACCTAGAACTAAAAATAAAATAAATATCAATGTAAGAAAAATAATGTAACCTAGCCTACCATTCTAGATATTTCTGGTTGAATATAACAAATAAACTCATCGTACAACTTTATTGTTTTTCTAAAGTTAAAAACTCATTTCTAAGTAAATAATGAGAAAATAAATTAAAGACCTTGGAATAAGTCTAGGCTGGCACCTAGAGACAGTGTTAAAAAAAAATTAATGGCATGGCATCATATTTTGTGAATGGTGAGAAAGGTTACAGTATTATATGCAGTGAAATACCATTGGTATACAGCAAAGTTACTTTCAATGGGTGATTTCAACTTTCTGTGCTGTGTAATGCTATTTGAAAAACAACCAGAGTTAATCATTTTAAACAAAAAAGTATTCCTTTGTTAGAATTTAAAAAAAAAAAAAAAAAAAAAATTAGGGAAAGAGAGAGCAAACCATGTGAACTCAAAAATCTCAAAAAAAAAAAAAAAAAAAAACACCCAGGAGTAGAAGTGCACACCTACAATCCCAGCTACTTGGGATAATGAGGCAACAGAATTGCCAAGTTTAAGGTCAGCCACAGCAACTCAGAAACTGTCTCAAAAAAATAAAAAGGGTTGGAAGACATAGCTCAGTGATAGTGTACCTCAGGTTCAATTCCCCACCACGACAAAAAAAAAAAAAAAAATTCAAAGATCAGAGTCAGAAATAAAAACTATGCAGGTTATGTACTGCCAAGTAATTCTTACATTATCTAACTCATCTCTCAGTCTGACAGAAAAATACAATGAAATCCAGTATATATTAGCACAGTACAATAGGAATCAGATCTGGAGTCCAACTACTGGATTCAAATCTAAGCTCTAACATTTACTAGCTTGCAATTTTCAATTGTCTAACTCTAAAATGGCATTAACAATAGATCCATTCCACAGGATTCTTTGAGAATGAAATATATATACTAATCATTTTAGCACTGTACCTGCATACAATAGGCATTTGATAAAACATTAGCCATTAATGATTACCATTATTCAAGGAACTAAACCATTAATTCACCTGTATCTCTTCTTTCTAGAGTGTGATCTTGATCTTGATCGAGAACTAGACTGTGATCTAGACTTTGATCTTGAAGAGTGTGATCTAGAATTGGAACGACCCATTTCTTTTCTCCTAGTCAAATGAAAGTAAAAAAAGGGTTAAAATTATAATTTGATTAAAGTTTCATATAAGATTTTCTTATTTTCAGATACAGATTGAATTTTATAGATCATTATTCTTTTCAGAGGACAGGTCATTATTCCTAACTAAAACCTTGTTTTTGCCTGCATAACAAATAGAATGTACTAAAGAGACAATTTTCTATGTTCTGCCTCAACTATGTGTCTCAATTCAAAAAGACAACAGCTGCAGTAGCTAAAAAGAGCAATATCAGACTGCAGCAACATGTTATTCCATACCAACACAAATACCTACCTCTCCTGAAAAAAAAGATAAATATCCAACGATTAGATAAGAAACCTGAAACAAAGAAAATATACTTTCTGTATAATCTTGTCTATAATCAAGAGGCTCAACCCTGGGAAAAAAAAATAAACCTACTAGACTGTCGTCATAGTATTTTATATCCTTGAAATGGGCCTGAACTGACCACTTCATGCATACTATACTGCCTTGAGTGGTATTACTGGATAGACTCCTAGTAGAAATAAAGGTCACTAAGTCTCTGAAAAGCTGAAGTCATCCATGACTCTGTTTGTTCTCAGTAGTCATGATGGCAGGATAAAAATGGACTTACATGACAAAGCCTAGGGTACTCTAGCTTTTTTTTCTGGTAAATGAAAAAGGACGAGATCCAGAAATTAGATTACTGCCAAGAGAGATTACAACTACAAGAAAAACAAAACTTGTACACTTGTATTGTTACTTTTCTAAACATTATATGGTATCAAATGCTATAATTAGACTTCACAGGGTAGAAGTAACAGAACTGATTCATATAATCTACTCTTCATAAAAATAACTTTTAAACACACAAATACACACAAAGCAAATCACTGCATGTACATCACAAAGGTCACATTTTCAACTTTTCAATGAGTTCTGAGACTATATAGTCTTAACCTTATAGGCTTATTTTTGCCAAATATAGGTGACCCTTAAAACAACTAGGAGTTACAGACAGTGAACCCCACATAGTCAATCTACGAATAACCTTTGATTCCCTAAAAACTTAATAGCTTGCTGTTGACCAGAAGCCTTACCAATTACAAAACTCAATTGACACGTGTTTTGTATGCTACTTAATTACATATGCTGAAAAACAGGCAATACAAAATTTTCTTGAGAAATAAACTGTTCAGAGATGATGATTAGCATAAGGACCAGCATTTTAAGTGGATATCCACAACACTTAAGTTCACAAAAACAGCAACAGAAGATAGTTATGAAATTATTATAGCAGTTGATTTCATGCAGTTATGATTTAAATACTGCATCTTTACATTTCTCAATCGAAAATGGAGTCATGCACTGTCTATGAGTAAGAATTTATAAACTTTAAATTTTGAATAGATATGCATCTTAATAAAAAAACTGATATGTAAATATATTTTATCCATTCATGGCATACCTTTTTTTGGTTTTTTTTTTTAGAATTTTTTTCCACTAGTTTTAGGCTACATGGATCACCTGCAAATTTTTTCAAATTGTCATGAATTTCCCAACACCATTCACGTAAAGTGGACCCATGAAGTACAAACCTATGTTCAAGGGACAACTGTGGAACTATTTCCAAATCTCTACTAAACTTATTATCAAGTAAGTCATCATTTCCAAAAAAAAAATCAACTTATTAAACTTCTAACAGCAATTTTCACATTTTTAAATCATATCTGCAAGAACCAAGTATTTTTAATACACCATTTTACCTAGTCTTTTTGAGTACTATAAAGTAGTATTGAGATACTAAAATTAGTTAATTGCAGAGAAAGTAAAGATTCTGTCTACAAGCTTCCTCTTTTAAGAACATAAACGAAAAACTTCAAAGTTTCAGGTAAGTATTTCAAATACAACATAACTATCATCTAATAGACAAACTATCACCTTTTTCTTCTACTCTCAACTTTCTCAGTCCCAAATAAACAAGGCATACATAAGATAGAAGTAAAAATGCAGGTTTCAGTGTTCAAAAAAGGTAGAATAAGAATTCTACATCATTAATAAAGGAAATTTAACATTCACAGAGGAAAATCTGTTACCCAGTAGAAAAAAAGACAAATTTGGTTTGGCAAGCTATTTTATTTTGACAACATAATGAAATTGGTGACATTCACATTTACAATCTCTAAAATAAGAAATCTAGATTATCAGGAATTGTGACACTTTATTGGCTTTCAAAATACTGCCTTTCTCAAACTTTTTAAATTACATATGTAATTAACATTCAGTGTAATAAGATTTATTTCAAGAAATTGATTTTTCTTCCAATCTGAGATAATTAGAAAAACTATTTAAAAAACCAGAGTGTCAAATGATTTTGAAGATTCTAATAGCTAGGCAAAACCACTTTCACTGTATTAATAAGTAAAAGAAATGCTTTCAATTACCCATAAGTTCTGTGCTATGCATATCTACAATCTCTGATCTTGGTTCTTGATGTATTTTGTTTTGCTAATGGTACTTTCTAGCAAGCAAATCAGAAATTGTATAGACTTTTCCAATCCAGAACATCTGGGTTGGTATGCAATTAAAAAAATGCTTTATATAAACAAAATTAAAAAGACTAACCACAATATTGGTTAGGAAAATAATTCTTTGAAGCTTCAGGCCAGGCTAGGGGTGTAGCTCAGTGTTTTTGTTTGCCTAGTATGCATGAGGCCCTGTGTTCAAACCCCAGCCCACAAACAGGGGTCAGGGAAAGACTTCAGAACACTCAATCAGGTACTTCTTTAACTGTTAAATGAATGTATTCCCCAGAACCTGGGGGGGGGGGAGGTGTTTGTTTGTTTAAGCAGCAATTTTATTTTTAAACATCTGGGTTTTGATTTGTTTTTAAATAGGCACACTTGAAATTCCAAATAAGTGATTTAAAAAAGCACAACTATAAACTTATCAGTCCAAAAGAAAATTGAGTTCTTTTGAAGTTTTTGTTGTGTGTTGGTGCACTAGGGATCAAATCAGGGCCTTGAACAAACTAGGCAAGTACCTGACACTAATTTATACTCCCAGCCCCAGAAATTTGGATTAATATATTTTTCAAATCTTTACAGAAATATTTCTCACTAAAGAAGATTAAAATCAAAAACCTCTCAGACTACCTAGATTCAAAGCCAGGCTAAGACACCTCCTTTTTTGTGTGACCTTAGGCAAAATCTTTAATCTGAACCGCAGTTATTACGAATGAAGAAAATTACAGCACCTATTTCATAAAGAACTAAATGAGTTGATAAATGTAGCTCATGTAATACAATTTTGGCACATAATAAGGAATTAATTTTAATTACCTTAACACCAAAGTAGAGGGGGGGGAAAGTTAAGTTATGGAACTCCTCTTGTTTGCATTAGGGAAGATGGGTTAAACAGCAGGGTCTTTTTGTCTTGCTTTGATTTTAATTTGCTTTTTATGTTCTGAATCGTTTAGTAGAGGTTTTTATAGAAGTGGAAGAAGCAAATATACAACCTAGAAGCAGGAGAGATGAAAAGAATCAGCCGGGCACAATGGTATACTCCTGTAATCCCAGCGACTCAAGATGGCAGAAAGATTGAAAGTTTGAGGCCAGCCTCAGCAAATTAGAGAGGCCCTAAACAACTTAGCAAAACCCTATCTCCAAAAAAAAAAAAAAAGGGATGGGGATATACCTCAGTGGTAGAGTACCCCTGGGTTCAATCACCAAGATCTAAAAAGAAGAATCTTTTTTCTAAGACTAACTTAAAATCTGACTTCATACAAGCCACCAAAAAGGGAAAAAAAAAAAAAAAAGCTTCAGGCTACATGGCTTTTAATCATTCCATCTGAATCATCAGCTCAGCTGTCATATTTAATGAAACAAGTGTAAACTGGAAACAGAAAAATGAATGCTACTTACCTGGGGTTTTATGCACGAAGATAAGAAGTTTTGAGATTCTGTAAAGTTCTTCCTGAAGAGACGTTTTCTGAGAAATTAAACTCTAAATTCAAACTCCTAGCAAATAAAAAAAATTCATGAGTTATGGTAAATTAAATATTCACTATTTATAATACATATGGGTACTGCAATATGCTAATAAAGGCACTTGTGATTTCAAAGAAGGGGAGACTGATTTAGGAAACATTAAATTTTAAACCATAAAAGCGTATGACTCAATTTCTTTTTGAAAATCACAACGCATCAGTTTATCATTGAACTGACAGCAACTTAACTAATTTTTAATACTTGCATTCTAATTTTAGTAATTTGACTTAGAAAAAGAAGACATGCTATCCCCTATAATAAAATTCCAAAGTAATTAACATTGTTATCTTAGAATATGAAAACATCACGTAATCTGTATTTAATATTCACAATGATGACAACATCTATAATGAGTTTAATGCTCTGCTATGTATTGTCTTGGCACTTCCTTTCATTTTCATCTAAAACTGATTTCCATCACAGTGATCTCTAAACTATGTATCTAAAAGTACTTTCACATGTGTACAAGTAACAATCAGCAATAAAACAAGTATGTATTAGAAATCAATACTCATCCTAAACCAACCATTACCATGTAAATCAATTTAAATTTGGCTCAAAATGTTAAGCAGCTATCCAAATGGGAAATAACATACTTTGTGAATAACATTCAGTGATTATCAATTACATACAAAGGATGATTCAAAAATACTATGGGGTGGGGCTGGGGTTGTGGCTCAGCAGTAGAGTGCTCACATTGTGCGTCGAGGCCCTGGGTTCAATCCTCAGCACCACATAAAAATAAATAGATAAAAGAAAGGTATTTTGTTCAACTACAACTAAAAAGAATTATTTAAAAAAAATACTATGGGAGCAAAAATTCAGAAAAGAACAAGAGCAAGGCATGGTGGCAAATGCCCATAATCTCAAGTGTAAGGCTAGCTTGGGCAACTTAGCAAAACCCAGTTTCAAACTAAAAAAATTAAAAGGTCTAGAGTTACAGAAAGCACTCCAGGTTTGTTCAATCCTCAGTGCCAAAAAAACAGTACTGGGGATGTAGCTTAGCAGTAGAGCATCAGAACTGAATAAAAGAAAAAAAGGGGGGGGGTGCGGAGCACTGGAATTAATAAATAAGCTTAAAGGAGAAAAAATATACATTTAAATGAAAATCCATGAATCATTAAGTAACAATACAAAATTTTAAATACAACAATATTTGAAATATAAAGAAAAATGAGATTAAACTAGTAACTCAAGAATGGTATACCTTAAACAGCCATGGCCCTACAACTGGGAGACATGAGATCTGTGGTTCAGGCTAGGATCCAGTAGGAACACAGTAACTAAGGTACTACACCATACTAAAATTAAAAAGTAGCAAAACCGAAGAGTCAAATAGGCTTGAGTAGCAAGTTAAAAGGGTTTCTAAAGTTCATATAAGTTTAGTGTTTAAAAATCAAAACTCCCAAGTGGGGAAAGAGCTAACCTTCTAAATTAAGATACCATTCAAAAAACTTTTCTTCTGACCTTGAAGTCAGTATCACTGATTTCACTGCTGGAAGTGGTATAAGGATCCAGCTAGCTAACAATTCCCCCTAAACAATTTCAAAAGGCCAACTTTAATATATATCCAGAATAATTAACTGCCAAGTATCTTTTTACTCCGAGTTGTAATGTTTTTGATGTTCCAAGAAAAAATACTCTAGAAAGAGAAAACAGAGAGAGGAGGGACTACAAGCTGTTGGACCAGCTCTTGTTAACAATGCAAAAATATATTCAAGTATCCACACCAAGAACTCAAACGATATATAAAATGTGATACACAACAGTCAGCATTAAAGACCTATCCAGTCAACTAAGGTTGGTTTGTTGTTGTTGTTGTTTTGTGGTTTGGGGCATAGGAAAGCACTCTGCCACTGAACTACTGCCCCAGTCCTCAACTAAAAAATTTTTAGACAGTCTGTGTACAGTATTATGAGACATGATTTTGTAAGAGGTCCCCTCACTACAAAAACCAAATACAGATGAACAGATATCAGCAACAAATCATAGTAAACTAAATATCAGCCACATGCCAAAAACTGTGTCAAGTAATAAATAAATCATCTCATTTAATCCTAATAATTTTGTGAACTAAGTATTAATGCCATCTTTCCAATGAAAAGAATTCTAAGCTCTCAGAATACACCATACTAAGTGCCTATTATATACAGAATTGTTAAGAAAACTTACATATTCTACTTTCTTTGAGCGCCCAGTGAGGGGAAGACAAATAAGAAAACAACAAATAATGACAAGCAAATTGAGGGGGAGGGGTCCACAAGGCAACATGCTAGGAGGAAAACAAGTTAGTTGAATCCTGGAGCCATCTTTAAGGAGGTAACATTTATGTAATACTGCAAAGATCAATGGAGCAAAGAACATTCTAGGCAGAAGACATTCTAGACAGTAAAAACATCCGAGTTACTCTGATCAAGGAGCCAAGGGTACAACACAAGGCAGAAGTAGCACTGGATCAGATCATATAACATCTATTGGCCCGGATTTTACTGTTAACTCCAGTGAGGAAATTCCTAGAGGGGTTGATCATGAGTCCCATCATCAGAATTACATTTTAAGATGGCTGCTATGTAAGCTAAGTTGCTGAGGTTGGCCTTAAACTTGTGATCCTCCTGCCTCAGCCTCCTGAGTCACTGGGGATTACAGGCACCATGTTGTCTAACTTCATCTTATTTTTTTCTCTTCAAGGATGGCCTCAGAACTAAGTGTGGTTCTAGCAACTTAACAAGACTGTCTCAAAAATAAAAACTAAAAGTGCTGGTGATGTAGCTCAGTGGTAAAGCAACCAAGATCAATCCCCAGTACCAAACATGTATGTATGTATGTATATAAAAAAATATAAGTTCTTAGTCCAACTTGTTGCACCTTGCTAAAAGAAAGAGCATGGGAACAGTGGATCAGAATACCTGCACTGTAAACCGGGTTATGCCACTTCCTAGCCTATATTGCTGTTAGTTTTCTAACTTTCTGGCTTCCATCTAGAAAATGGAGAAATACTGGATTAAGAAAAACTGAAGTGTTTGAAAATTTCAAAACATTACATAAATTCAAGCTAGTGTTGCTATTACCTTCATGTCAGTGGACTGTTTGTTTTTTGGAGACAGTCAAATTATTAAATGCTTAGGACTATGAAATAATACTGATCACTACTTAAGAAGCTGGATGTGACTAACGAAGAAACTCACTACAATTACAACATCAATACTGACACTACCCGGTATCTACTTATTTGTTAAATATCACTGAAAATTAGCACAGCAGAATTCAGCTAATGTTCAAGTAATAATTTCAAAAAATTTTCTGGGAACTCCCAATCCGAAAATCCATGCAGAACTGAAAAAAAAAAAAAACCTTTCTCCATTTCTACAAGTATTCACATTACAATTAATCTAGAGCAGCCTGTACATAAGTTGTTCAATACATTCAAGTAGCCAAGCATGGCACTTGCCTGTAATCCCAACAATCTGGGTGACTAAGGCAGGAGGATAACAACTTTGAAGCCAATCTGGGCAACTTAGCAAGACCTAGTCTCAAAATAAAAAACAGAGAGGACTGAGGATGTAGCTCAGTGGTAAAGCATCCCTGGGTTCAATACCCATAATGCAAGCTAATTAATTCAGTACATCTGAGCATACCAGTGACAAGTATTTCTTACAAGTCTGTCATCAAGTCCTAAAATACTACTGTTCTTAGAAGTCAAGAATCAGCTTGAACTAAATTCTCTTCAGACACCATTTATTATCTGATTACAGAGGGACTCCAGTGTTCACAATATAATGGTGAAATGGTAAAATCTTTAAAAGATGCTACAAATTAGCATTAGTTAGGCTTTGGATTGTTTATTATGAGCTACTTCAAACACATAAGAATTCCCATCAAATTAACCAGTATTTGATAGGGTTAGACAAAAATGTAAAAAAACTTTCATTAGTTTCTCCTACATAAGTGTTGTTTATTGCCTAAACAGTAACCTGTCCGTACCATTTAGAGTCAAACTGGAATAAAATATTTGTTTTGCTTTTGGTTTTAATTTTAAAAAATTTTAAAGACTCCGTGGCAATAGGATACAAGTCTGACGTGGCCAACCATTTTTCCCGTTTTAGCCACATAACACTTTCAATCTTCGTATTAACTTCTTCAATTCTACCCCCCCCCCGCCACACACACACACACCACACAAAAGGACAGTAAAGTTGTTGCCGGTACTGCTGCTTGACCGTGACCAGATATATCTTAAAAGTAAATCGAGTCAACTTATGGGTTCAAAATGAGGGCTAAATCCATAAACTGAACTCATCACTCCCACCTCTTTATATCACCAGCTCGGTTTCGCTTGCACTTCTGCAGAAATGACCCTTCGGCTAAGGTAAGTCGCCCAGCCCCATCGGCTAAGACTCGATTCCCATGCTAGGAAAGAGTTACTGAGTCAAGCCGGAGCGTTCGTTTCAAAACAAGGATGAGTTGCCAGAGGGACCGAGAAGATTAACACAGAATAAACTTCCCAGCAACACACAGGACCAGAGACAGAGGCCGAAGTCGGTTAGAAAAAGCAGAACAGAAGCCTAAATCCAAGTAAAATAACAAAAAGGAGGCCTAAATCGACAGATATCCTAGAGCAGGGAAAAGAGTTTAAAGACAACGCCGAAAAGGGTCGACTTACCCAGGGCACTTTGCTGCAGGTCATGTTTATTTTGTAAAAGCCGAAAGGCCGGAAAGAAAGGTAGCGCTCCCAGCCAATGAGGCGAACACCAGCAGCACCTCACGCGGCAGCACGCGCCATAAGCTGGGAAGTGAGAAAGGAAGCGCGTGTAGCGCGCGTGCGCAGAGTATCTGGTCGGGCGCGCGCTGGGGTCCGACCAGAAGAAGTGGGGGAAGGGTTGAAAGAGGTGTGCGCACGCGCAGGAAAGGCCGCGCGGTCTCCGGATCTCGATCCAGGTTCGCAGCCGCGCGCTCTCGCGCTCCCAGTTCACTCAGCCTACCCCACCCCCACACCTTTTCGAAAGCTCGTGGTTCCCTGAAAAGCTGAGAAAAGCTCGGAGGGAAACGCACAAATAACGGCGCAACGGCTCCGGCGTTCTCTCGCCGTCGCCGACTCGTCACCACCCACAAAAGAGTCAACAGTATTAACCCATCTTCGGTACTCACGGGCCTTTGAGTAATCTGGATGTATCTCAAGGCTTACCTAATACGCTGAAGCACGGTTCCCGGGATTTATCTCCGTTGTAACTACACAGCGGCCATTTCCCGACTCGAGAACGAGAGGAAAACCATAGAGGTAGCTTCGACGCGCTAGCTCGTCTCCGTCACTTCCGATTTGGGGCGTGGCCTCGGGTGCCGCTAAATACCTAGGCAGACCCCGCCCACCCTTCCGCCCTAGACCGACTCTCTGGCCGCTATTAAGATGTTGCCTGAGGCTTTCTGGGAAGTCGTGTGTATGGTCTCGCGAGAAGATGTGGTGACTCCGCCCTCTGGCCCGCGGGGGCCTCCTCCGCCTGGGTGGCGGTAGACTAAAGGGAGGGCTTGAGTAGGGAGCGGATTTTTTTCCTAGGCCTAAAAGTCGGCGGACTCCACGAAAGGACTGGTGGTCGACCGGCCTTGTCTCTAGGGGACCAGCTAGACTATTATCCCTGCTCATTGCGACAGTTAGTTCTTCTGGTCCGTGCTCTCTGTGGGGCCGGCTTAGATAGCCCCCAAACGAAAAGTCTGTCTGAAGACCGGAAGGCAAGAGGCAGCTTGTGGTCCCAGATCTGCGTCTCCTCTGCCAGGAAACGTGGCGTTTTTTCTTGGACGCCTAACTTGAGAGTCTCTCGCTTTGCTGTTAAATGTGCCAGAAGCACTTTGTTAAAGTTGAAAATGACCACGGTCTAAATCCCATTTTGAGTGGCATCTGATAAACTCGCCATTGGCTCCGCCGTAGTGGCAGGCAGGTTAGGCTGTCTGGACAGTTTGCGTCATAGCTCTCTGTTTTTCCTTGTGACGTTGTTAGGGCATTACCACCTAAGCTTTCAGAGATTGGCATAAACGTAAAAAAAAAAAAAAAAAAAAAACGAAGCAGGTAAGCTTTCAGCCTGTAACAACCATTTGTGCTGGCCGAGAAACAGCCCAACGTCACTTGATCTGCCAGAATTATGAATCAGATTATAAATAGGCAAGCCACGTTAGATTTGAATCATTTCTTTTCTATTAATACTAATCTTAGCTGCAGTTTCTTGCGTAGAGGCTTAAGCCTTATCTGATGTTTTAAGAGGTTAATTACCTTGAAGGATTCAAGGTTCTAATTTAACAGTCTTCCTTCAGTTAAATACAGTATTGGGCCTGGTTGTGAATTTAATACTAGTATAGAGAACATTCCTTACAATCCAGTTTACCAGCCCTAGAAATACTTTTTTTTTTTAATACTAGGAATCGAACCTAGAATGGCTTAACTGAATCACATCCCCAGCCTTTTTTATTTTTTATTTTGAGATGGGGGTCTTGCCATGTTGCTGAGGGACCTCCCTAAGTTGCTGTGACTGGCTTTGAACTTGCAATCCCCCTGCCTCAGCCTCCCAAAAGTACTTTATATTTATGGAATGAATTCTAGGGTTTTTTTGTTTTGTTTTGTTTTTTTGTATTTTATTGTACAAACAGCCCTCATGTTGCTACCACCTTCAGGAAGTGAAAGCTGGAATTTGGGGATATTGTACACTGGTAGGTCCAAAGCATTTAGCTAAGGAGTTGCTCAGGAAATATTTTTTTACGTCGGCGAACTAAATTAAAAATAATAGTTGATGACTCAGTACGATTCTTCTATTCTGCATATGTAGAGCAGCAGGACCCTCTGGCCTGTTATTTATCCATTTATTCAAATCACACCAAAGTTTAACTAGAATGCTAGGATATTAAGCCCTCCTTTACAGTTCTATTGTAAATTTGTTAAAAATGATGTCATCTTTCTATCTGAGACAATGGAACTGATTTTGATTGTGTATGTGTGTTGTTTGGGATCAAACCCAGGTACTGGCACATACTGGTAATAGAAAAGCATTTACCACAGAGCTACACCCCATCCCTAATTTCAGTTTTAAATAAATGTAAGTACTAAGAAAGGAGAAGCCACAATGGAACAAATCCTTTAATAAATAGAGATTTCCAACTTTTCTTGAACTAGGTCCACTTGATATGTGGTACTTATTTTACCAAGCTCTAAATTTGAAAATTCTTGAATTCAAATGATGTTTTTGTGTACATTCACTCCATTGTCTGATTTTATTTTCAACACCCAAAATTCCACCAGTACAGGTCTATTCTCTGTAATGAAACTTTTGCTTCCTATTAAAATACAAACAAAAGAACAGGGGAAAAATAATTAAGAGCCTATTTTAGAAAATGGGAATTTGGGCATTGCATAAAAATAGAAAATTATTCCAAAAAGAAACATGAATTGCAAAATTACCAACCTTACTAATAAGATAAATACAAAAAGAATGGTTTGAGAAAATATTTTATGTGGTCATAATTATGTTGATGTTTGTAAAACACTTTCCTAACATGGTATTTTTTTATTAGGGTTTGGTTTGGGTTTAAGATAATTCAAAGAGAAGAAGAGAATATTGGGCATCTGAAAAACACAAGGACAAGAAGGTAGGAATGAGAATGGAACTGGAAGTCCAGAGGCTAACTCCTCCCTCACTCTACTTCATTTGGGTTTGTCTTTTAAGTCTGAATAACATTTGAACTGTTTTCCTTTTGGAAGAAGCTGAGGTGGAAGGGATGTATGGGGTCTTAGTCTTTCCACTCCCTGAGAATAGTGGCATTGGGAATCCAATGTTTGAGAAGCAGGAAATAGAGGAAATGTGACCAACAGAGATTCTCTAACTAGTTGCTAGGAAGGGATTTTGGCTATAGCTCTTGTGGCCTGGCCTCCATTTGTTCCTACCTTCCCTAGGCTTTGCATTGATTCATTTCTGGGCTTTTGGTTTGATTTGGTAAAGTCAGAAATCAAACTCAAGACGTTGCACATGCTAAGCACATGTTCTACCACCAAGCTACATCCCCAGCACCCCCACCCTTCTAAAATCATAATTGTGGTAAAATATGCATTGATTCTTGAGCTAACTGATACCCTTCCAGTAAATTTCTTTTCTGGGTAAGTTAGTCAGAATTGGTTTCTGTTGCTTACAAGCAGGAACCCATAAACTCCATGTCATAGTTTTCAATATTTATGAAGACAGTTTTCTAATTGATCCAGCATTTTTCCAAATCTGTGTCAATTAAATAAATGGTTTCTCTTGCCAAATATAAATTTCATTTTTTGTGGGTGAACACAGTTGACTAGGACTCTTATCCCACTCCTTTTTAATTCCCATTGACATGCTAAGAATATGCAGGTTTTTGGTTTTGACATTTTTTTATTCTATAGTGCTAAGCATTGAACCCAGAGCCTTGCACACACTAACCATGCAATCTTCCATTGAGCTATACCCTTTCCCCTGAATGTAGAATTTTTAATTTTTTTAATATTTAAAATTACCAAAATTATATATTCATGAATTACAGTGTTGGTACTTAATTAATATCTCCATTCTGACAAAAATAATTAAAATATCAAAATGTTTTGGTTAAGCCTTGGAGTGTAACTCAGTGGTAGAACACATGCTTAGCATGTATGAGGCCCTGGGTTCAATCCACTGCACAAAGAAGAAACAAATGTGACTATTATCTATGTTCCCAATTCCTACCAAGATTAATTTTTATCTTTCTCAAATAATCACAACAAATAGAACATGTAATTCTTTTGAAGTTTCTAGAAGTAATTTTTGCCCAGTACAGTATAAGATCCACCTCCAGAGAATAACCTAATTCCTATTGCTTATTTTAAAAGTAGATCACTGAGTTTCAGAACACACTGTGGTAGAGACAGGCATTCACACTGAAGTTTAAGAATCAGTGACTTACTGAAACCTATGATATTTTAGATAATACAGGGCTATAAAACAGAACAAGACATCATTCCTGCTTGTCTGTTAGAACTCAAAATCTACCTGAAATTGGGCCTAACTTCCATGACAAAGAAAAAGAAAAACATCCACAGAAATGCAAGTGTCAACAGTGAAAGAGGGAAGAACCAACAAGAAGTTAAAAAATGAGTGGGATTTTACCTCTTATTCAACAAATATGCATGAAGAATGTGCCATGTAAAGGTGCTGAGTCAGATGAAGCAGTGATAAAACCCAAACCCTAACACTTGTCTCAAGGAGAAAGAGAGAACATATATGAGACACAATACTCCAAAGTCTGATATTAATAAGAAAGTGATAGAGAATAAAAGAGGAAGACTTACTGTAGGGAGGATGCTTCTTCAGGAACAGTCCTTGTGAGGATATGAGATTTAGGGAAAGAAATGGAAGAGCACCCTCTACATAGAGACTGACCAGTGCAAAATCCCTGGAGCAGAAAAGACCTCATCATATTTCTGGAATGGAGAGAGTAGTGATATATTAAGGAGGAAGGTGCTTCAAGGTGAGGGTAAAGAGATAAGTAGGAGTGGATCATACAAATATTGCCAGACATGGTACTACATACCTGTAATTCCAGTGACTGGTGAGGCTGAGACATGAGGATTGCAAGTTTGAGGACAGCCTCAGCAACTTAGTAAGACCTGAGACCCTGTCTCAATTTTTAAAAAAGACTGGGAAGGTAGCTTAGTGATAAAGCACTCCTGAGTTCAATCCCCAGTACCAAAATAAATTAATCAATAATTAAAATATTAAATTTACTATTTATGTATTTATTAACCATTTAACATTCGTAAAACTCTGATACCATTTTGGATTTTTGAGCCCCAAACCTTATACATAGGCAAGTGTTCCCTAGCCTTTTTTTGTAACTGATGAAGATTTTTAGTATTATCCACAGTCCCTTTTTTCCCATAAGCCCTGTGATTTTATTGTGTTATTTTGCATAGTGCAGTGATTTTTATGAAAAAAAATATGTTCCATTATTGCAGATCTCACTATATAACATTCAATATCCACTCTCAGTTTTAGCAATAAGAACAGTGAAGTATGGAAAGGTGGACTAACTTGCTAAAAGTCACGTGAATTTTAAGAACCTAAGATTTTATGAAATACATCTGGCTGGGGATGTAGTTCAGTGGTAGAGCACTTGCCTAGCATACATAAAGCCTGAGTTTAATCCCCAGTACTGGGGGGGGGATTAAGTTATACATGGTTCTAAAGACCATCCTCTTTCCACAATAGTATTTACCCACATAAATGCTTATAATAGAGGTAATGTTATATCAACTTGATCTCAAGAGTTGTTTCTATTATATGCAACTTAATCATTCCCATATGTCT